CGCACCACAAGCAGAATTCAAAGCTGACTGCAGTCACATTCCTTTTCCAGTAAGCCCCCAGCTCTGCAGGTTACTGATGGGCTCCTGCAGCCCCCAAAGGGAAGCAGAGGGAATGCCACACACCCTTGGGAGGCACTTCCCAGCAGGGAGAGTCAGGCTCTGCTTTGGTAAGTGAGGAAATTAAGATTTTCATGTGTATTTGGCAGCTTAATATCCTTTATTAATATTTGATGTAATTATAAGTGTTTCATGGCAAACCAGGCAGAAAAGGGTGGGGTTCTTTGGTTTCTGCCAGTTTGCAAGGAGAAACACAAGAACAGATTCTGCAAAAATTACCTTCCCCTTTCTCTCCCCTTTCCTTCCCCTTCCCTCCCCCTTCAGGAAAACCATAGGGATCAAGAACTTTTTTTCTATGCAGGAAAGGCCACAGAGTTTCTGGATTCTGTTTCTAGGATAATTTAAAAACTAAGTCAGATGGCTCTTGGTGGGCCTTCCCTCACTGCTTTGGGCATTTCCAAAAGGAAACCTTTCCTCCAGGGGCATTCCCAGCTGCTGTGGGGCTTGGATGGGTCAGTATCCTCCCCCATGGACAGTGTCCTCCCCTATGGACAGTATCCTCCCCTGTAGACAATATCCTCCCCTATGGACAATACTGTCCTTGGCGAATCCAGGCTGAGCTCTGCTCAGGCAGCTGGGATGGGGCAGGGCAGCCCAGTCCTGACCCACAGTGATGATGAGGAAGGTTTTGGCTCGTGGCAGCTGCAGCTGCCTCCTGTCTTCTGTGAAATCTGGCAGGTGGATAATGTAATTAAATAATGAAAGGATCTGTTTATCAATTATGCAGAGATTTCTCTGCTCAGAATGCAGCAGCACTCCGTAAGGAACAGGGACATTTGTGATTTATTTCGTTGGGATTTTTTGTCCTTGCTTGTTAGGAATGCATGTGCTGGTACATGGAGTTCTCCAGTGAAATCCCTGTCCCAGTTTCTGACAGAACATTCTCTGGGCAGGGGCTGCACAGGGGGATGTCCTGGGATGGGACAGGATGGACACAAATCTCCACAAACGGGGAAACTCGGCAAGGGAAGGGCCAGGAGGGAAAGGAAGCAGCACAGCCTTGGAGATCCTTCAGCATTCCCAAGGGATGAATATATGTATATTGTTATTATATATGATGTGTATTAGGCAACATTTAGACTGGCAGCTTTGTGTCTCTCTGCAGAGCTGCACAGCCCAGCCCTGCAGAGGCACAGCTCCCAGGCAGTGCTGGGCTGCAGCTCAGGGGGTCCTGGCTTGTGTTTTGGGGTGTTCAGTTCAAGTTGGCCTCAACAGAAAGACAGTGATTTTGGCTTCCAGAATGGTCTGTGTGCAGAATGCTGTGATTTTGTTAGTTGAAACATCTGAACATTTCCAAATGGAAACCTTTCAATGCTGCCAGAAATCAAGAAATTAATTGTTAAAAGGTAAATACTGTATAGAATCCCAGAATGGTTTGGATTGGAAGGGACCTTAAAGTCCATCCTGTCCCACCCCTGCCCTGGGCAGGGACACCTCCCACTAGCCCAGGTTGCTCCAAGCCCTGTCCAACCTGGCCTTGGACACTTCCAGGGCTGGGGCAGCCACAGCCTCTCTCATATGTGTGTGTGTGTGTGTGTATATATATATATATACATATATATATATATATATATATATACACATACACATGCATGTGTACAATGAATAAATAAATACTTGTAGGTATCTGTGTATGTGGATGTGCAGGGAAAAAGTATCTGTAAGTGGAGGAAGAACCAGAACAGAGTGAATTTTCAATCTGCTGTGTTGAAGCAGTGTCTGATCCTCTCCTGGCCGAGAGTGAGTGAGGTCTCTGGAAGAAAAGTCTTCCCTTCCCAGGATCAGAACAAGGCTCCCTTGGCCCGTGGAGTTGCCATGGATACCACCCTGGTGTGGGATGGATGATGCCCTCCAGCCTGGGGTGTCCTTGTGCTGTGCTGCCAGTCCTGCTGGAACTGAGGGAGAAAACGAGCTTAATGCTGGAGTTGGAGGGAAAGTTGTTCATTTTATTTAGGATTATTGGTGATGATCTCTGTGTGTCTGATCTGTTGAAAAGCTGCAGAATGGCACTTTGGTTGAAAAGACAGGGTTTGTTTTATTTCACAAAGCTCTTTACCTTTGTGCCTGGTTCCTGCTTGCAGTGTCCAGGCCCCAGAGCCAGAGCACGGTGTTGTTGGGCACAGTTTGCAGGGACAGGTGAATTCTCTGCTTTAGAAACAGGTGAAGGTGTCTGGAATTGAGCAGTGTTTCTACTGGAATTGTTCTAGTGGAAAATGATGGAGTTCACTGCCTTCCTGGTCAGTAACTGCACAGTGATGTGGAGGACTTGATGCATCTTTTTCACTTCTAACAGTAAATACTGATTTCTCAAGAGAAAACAGACTTTTGGAAAGAGCTACTAAATCACTGGGAAATGTCTTATTCTCCAGAGCTGGCGTGTTCATCACAGTGTGTCAGGATTGCTCATTCTCCCTGCAGGTGCCTCAGACATCCCCTCCATCTTCCTGCTGTTCAGCCTGACAAATCCACAGTGGTTTATTAAGCAGGACCTTGCACTGAAGGAGTCAGCTTTTATTTCATATTCTGTAGATGTCCTATTGAGTCACAGCCACTTGGGACTTCACTTTTTATACTAGGGTGTGTAACTTCTTTCTGCTCTTTCAAGTCATAAGTACCAGGTATCTAAAATTCTGCAAGGAAAAGGCAGTAAAATAAATTAACAAACTGAGCATAATTGGCTTATTTATAATGGATTCTGACTTGAAACCCTGGCCTCAGGTGACGGTCCCTGTTTGTGTTGCAGCGCTCGGGCGGGGCCCTGGCCATCCCTCTGTGTGCCTTCCAAGGGACTGTGTCTCTGCAGGCTCCCACCGGGAAGACCCTCTCGTTATCCACGTACGAGGTGAGCTCTGACGGGCACAAAATCACCCCCATGGCCAAGAAAATCGAGGTGTTTCGGTCCAAGAGCGTCGGGCACGAGCCCAGCCCGGAGGGGTCCCCTCACACGAACGTTAAGATTCATCTGGAGGTGCTGGAGATCTGTGACAATGAGGAGGCCCTGGACACCGTGTCCATCATCAGCAACATCAGCCAGTCCTCCACCCAGGCCAGGTCCCCCTCCCTGCGCTACTCACGGAGAGAGAACAGGTTTGTGTCCTGCGAGCTGGGGGAAAGCGCCTCCTACTCCCTGTTCATCCCGTCCCACAGCCCCGGCAGGGACATCAGCATCTCCATCCCCGACACCGTGGAGGGCCATCGCAGCAGCAGCAGGCAGCACGTGGGCACGGGGCACCAGGAGGAGATCCAGCTGCTCAACAAGGCCTACAGGGAGCGGGAGGGCCAGGGCAGCAGCGGCTGAGGGGGTTCTGTGCTCTGCAGCTGCTCTGCCGCTGCTCCTCTGGGCTCGAGGTGCCCACACAGATGCAGGGTCAGCTGGTTTTCCTAACATGAATTTTATTTGGGTACACTGTTAAATCCATTCAAACTGTTAATGCTCTGTCAAGGGGATAACAAACGCTCAAGTGCTTTACGGCTTTGCATAGTGAATTTCAAGTTATTTATTTATATACTATTTATTTGAGGAACATACATGTCTAGAGGGAATCCTAAATAAAGTCTTACAGTCCAGCTTTGGCGTTTGTTGGCACTGGGTGCTGTGTCTGTGGGACCCTGAGGAAATGAGGGAGCAGCTCCACAGCTGGGAAGTTACAGTAGTGTTGACTCACTTGCAGTTCTTTTCAGCATCTAAATCAAAAAAATCCTAAAATATATTTCCTTTAGAATGTGTGTTTTTCACAGTGTTAAAGGAGATGATGGAAATGCAGGAGGTTCGTGCATGGAGATGGAAATTGCTCTGGCAGCAAAATCCCACTGGTTTCAAACATGAGCACTGCTTTGGTGTCCAGATACACTGTCATGGATTGTTACTGGAGCAAACAGGAGCAAACTGTCAAAATCACCCAAGTGACTCAGCACCAGGCACGTGTCTGTCCTGGACATCTAAATAACAGAAGCAGAGGTAACCACTGCCCCAGTTTAGAGGCACCTCCAGGCTAAAGGGGGTCGGGGAGACCAACTTGTCTATGTGTGGGTGCATAAGCCACTTTGTGAGGGGAAAAGAGAAAAGAAAACAGAAATTTCTAACTTGAGCACCTGCTTCTTCTCCCTTCATATGGCCAAGTGCTGGAGTGTTGGACTGACTGTCATCAGCTGTGGGCAGACAAAAAAGAGAGAATGGTTTCCTTTGGAAGAAGCGATCCTTCAACTGAATATTGAAAGTCAGTATGTGATACTGTGTGTCAGAGATCTAAATGCTGGAAATCCTGAAACGTGAGTAAATCACACCAACAAGGGAGAAAAGGCAAGAGAATACGTAAAGAAATTAAGTTGAAGAAGCATTTACAGCTGCACAGTGGTGTTCAGGAAAACAAAATGTTAATTCACTGTTGTAAGAGTAATACTGATGTGAATAATTCTCCCTGATTTAAAAGGTTGAATGTCCCACTCCGGAGAACCTGGGCACGGTGTATCCCACACACGAGTGATCAGCCCACAGACCCGGAGCAGGGGCTATTTAAATATGTGTATTGTCTTTTATGAAGAAACTATGGGAACAGTCTCCGTCCCAGAAAGGGCACGAACCCTGTATGCGACGATGGAGACCAATATTTAGTGTAGCCTTAAAATCTCCTTGCAGCTTGAAAGCCTACAAAGATCAAACATCAAAGAGCATCCTTTTTTTAAAAAAATGTTTAGATATTCCCCTTTTGCCGGGCGGGGACTCGAACCGGTGTCCCCGCGGGTCCGGGACTCGAACCCGCGGCCCTGCGGCGGGCGGAAGTGCGGCGCGGCCGGGGCGGGCGGTGCCGGCGGATGAGGCGGGGCCGGGCCGCGCGGGGCTCTGCCGGGCCGGCTCCATCGGCTCTCTCGGCCCTGTGGGCTGCCTCGGCCCTGTGGGCTGCCTCGGCCCTGCCGCCCCTCCGAGCTGGGCTGTGCCGGGCCGGGCCGCCGCGGCCATGAGCTACGAGCACCGCCGGGACTGGGGCCGCGGGCGCGGCGGCGATGGCGGCTCGGGCTCCGGCGGCCCCTCGGCGGGCGGGCCCGGCGGGCGCGGCGGGCGCGGGCGGCACCCGAGCCACCTGAAGGGCCGCGAGATCGGGCTGTGGTACGCGCGGAAACAGGGCCAGAAGAGCCGCGACACCGACCGGCAGCAGGTGAGGGACACGGGACGGCGGGGATGCGGCGCGCCCCTCGTGAGCCTTGGCGGGCGGCACCGGGCTGTGTGTGTGTCCCTGTGCTTGGAGCCGCCCCGGGGAACCCTCACACTCGTGCCGGGGAACCCTCACAGTTGTGACCGTGCCGGGGAACCCTCACAGCTGTGACCGCCCTGCGGAGCCTCCCCGGCTGCGGGCGCGTGTGGCGTTAGCGGGGGGATCCTGCCCGTGCCCTGCACCCTCCGGACAGGCTGTGCTGTTCCCGCAGAGAGCCGTCGTGCGCATGGACGAGCGCAGGGAAGAGCAGATCGTGCAGCTCCTGAATTCCGTCCAGGCTAAGAACGACAAAGAGCAAGAATCCATGTCCTGGTGGTCCGGGGATGAGGAAAGGTAAAGAGGCACTGGTTCCTTTAAACTGCCCACAGACTGGCAGGAAGATGTGCTGGAATTTACCTTTAGTGAGTGAGTTGACTTAACAGATATCCTTAGGTTTGCCCACCTGTGTTGTCACACTGAAGTGGTTGCAGTCATTGCTGTAAAACTCTTTTCCATCATTGCTGAGCTTCGGGTGTAACATTTCTACTTAAAATCATAACATCTTGTAACTGATCTCAGGGCCTACTTAGGGTGCATATGTGGGACTTTTAAGCTTCCCTGGTCTCTGGAGTTACTCTTCCAGAGATGGCATTTGACTTGTGTTTTCAGTTATTGTGCAGTTTTGGAGTCTTTTGTCCCCCTCTGTGGAGCAAAGTATGTTCTGAATTCGCTGAGGATTTCAGGTGATGGAGAACTGGGCAGGTGTGCTGAAATGAGGGCATGGAGGAGCCAGTTACAGTTACAGGGCGCTGGGTCAAGCAGTAATTTTCTGAAAATGTTTTGTTGCTTGGTCACTTAATTTGGTACAAAAGAACATGTTACTTTTCTAGATACCAATGTAAAGTTTTTGGTGGCTCATAATTTCAAACTTTAATTGGTTCCAGGGCATGCACCATAATGACAGGCTGCAAGAGAAACTGTGGCTGCCCCAGCCCTGGGAGTGTCCAAGGCCAGGTTGGACGGGGCTTGGAGCAACCTGGGCTAGTGGGAGGTGTCCCTGCCCAGGGCAGGGGTGGGGCTGGATGGGCTTTAAGGTCCTTCCACCTCAAACCATTCCATGATTCTGTATTCCTACGGGCTGGTGGTTCATTGACTGATGGACGAAACGTCTCAACCCCAAGTTCATGTGTTCCTGTAGTGGCTCCCTGCACGTGGCCAGGCTTAGCTGGGATCATCTCTGAGGTTTCTGTTCTCTGATTCCAGCCCTACAGAACAGCCTGTGAAGGTGAAACCAGATGCTGAAAAGGCTCCTGTAAGACGGAGACCGGCCTTGGAAAAAACATCCCTGGATCGGGATGTGGAATATCTCTTTGAAAAAAATGAGCAGGATACTGATTTAGATGAGCAGCTTAAAGAAGACTTAAGGAAAAAGAGATCTGATCCCAGATATATTGAAATGCAGGTACTTTTTGTTGGATTTTTTTTTCAGTTAAACTGACCTGCAAATGTACCTGTTTGCAGTTTATTTACTAGGAAGTTGTCATGTTACTTTTGTTAAAAAATTACCTTCAGAATTTTATAAGTGCCTATTGATAAGAAAGTGATTAAAAATGTGAAATTACCAATTTCAGGGACAATTAGAATCTATAGTTCAAAGATGACACATTGTTTTATTGGGTGGGGTTTTCTTTCTTTTTATGGGTTGTGTCCCTGCACTTATGTCTAAAACTGAAAGCACAGCAATGGGCTCTGAAGGAATCGCTCCTTAGAAACAGAGTTTATGTTATTTTAACATCCATGTATAGAGAGCTGTGAAGTAGAACAGTTGCCATGAACACCAGTTCTCCCTTTGGTACCGAGCCCTGCTCTTGCAGCTGTGTGTGCCTTCCTCAACATGTGCTGAACTACTGGGTTTAGATCATTTTGCTGAATTTAATGAAACTGAAAACACACATGGAAATAAAGTTATTCCCCTTGGGCCTGGGTTTATATAAGTATTGCTGAGGAGTTTGTCATTATTTCGCAGTTTAGCCTGGATTATAGATGGAATCTGTTACGTTGCTTCAGTTAAAGAGGTGTTTAAAGATACTTTTATTTTCTATTCCCCAGAGGTTTCGAGAGAAACTCCCCTCCTATGGCATGAGAGAGGTAGGTGTGTGTTTACCTACAGAGAATACGTGTTTCTGCTGCTGTGTTGTAAAATAGTGGCTGTACTGCTGGCTCTGACTGCCATTAGTTTCCCAGTCACAGGATAACATCAGTGACAGTAAAGGCTGTTATTAATTGGTGTTAATTCTTCATTTGGTGCCCCTTGTGTGAAGTAGAAAGTGAGTATTCTGATAGGTTTGCTTTTGCAGGTTCAGTGAATGATTAGTGAGCTTTGTCCTGAAATTCATCTATTTGCCATAATGTCCTTTCTGTTAGTGTTTGTTTCCTGAAATTGTCATAATGCCCTTGACAATCCTTGGGTTTGGGAGGTAGGGGCTGGGAAGCTGTTCCTGGTGGTACAAGAAATGTTAAAATAGTGTGCTAAAAACCTTCAGTTCATGCAGTCTGGGAGGCCAACAGGGTAAATGGTGGGTTTTTGTCCCCAAAGACGTACAGGAGGCAAGCGGGAGGCAGAAAACTTTAAAGTGTATTTTAGGTTTGGTTTTTTTAGTCCTTTCATGTTGTTTTCATATGAGATTTAAAGCCAGTGCTCAGGTTGGATGTGCTTTAAACCTTACACATGGAAAGTGCACACGAGCACCTCCCGTGAGGTTTAAACTAAACTTTAGTTGCAGTGTTGTGGCAAACAGCTCAGTGTTCCTTCAGCTGCTGTGACTCTGCTCAAGGGTCACTGCATGGTAGCAGAGAATGGTCAAAACCCTCTAAAATCTGATTTGAACAATAACTCAGTGCCCGTGTTCTCTGTGGAACCAGGAGCTCGTGAACCTGATCAACAACAACCGTGTGACTGTGATCAGTGGGGAGACGGGCTGTGGGAAGACGACCCAGGTGACCCAGTTCATCCTGGACGACCACATCGAGCGCGGGAAGGGCTCCACGTGCCGGATCGTCTGCACCCAGCCCAGGAGGATCAGTGCCATCTCCGTGAGTGCCCTCGGCAAACTCGCTTCCTGGGGGGTTATCCCTGTGAATCTGAGCTTTTTGTGTGTTCCTTCTCAGTTATCTGAGGTTCTGTTACAAGCCACGATTTTGTTCCTGTGCACTGATTTGATATTTCACAAGTGGTGGTTGGGGTTTGAGTACTGGCACTGCAGGCTCGTTCTCTGAGTTTCACCGTGGGTTATATCTGGGATTTTAATGGATTTTGCAGTGCAAATGTGAATTAAGATAAAAACTAATGCTGTGTCAGGCCCTCTAGAGGTGGATTAATGACAGGAAAGAGTTTGGCTCTCAAGTGCTCAGTAATTACTCTTCTTGCTAGTTCAGTGTCAAGTGATGAGAGACCCTTGCTTTACCCTGAGGGAAAGCTCACCCTGCTGAAGGGGTGTGTGGTTCTGTTCCTCTCAAGTCTGTCCTAGGACACAAACCTGCCCATGGGTTGCTGACAGGAAACACTGTTCTCAGGGGAGGAGAAAAAGTGGTTTTCAGGGTGTTTCTTTGTTATTTACAGAACTTCTCGGTTCCAGGTATTTCTTGCTGATGAGTAGCTCAATCACAGATCAGCCTGTGGGATTTTTGAGAGTTTTCTTTGTTTTCCCTAGGTGGCTGAGAGGGTGGCTGCTGAGAGGGCAGAGGCCTGTGGCAGTGGCAAGAGCACGGGGTACCAGATCCGCCTGCAGAGGTGAGTGGCTCCTGGTGCTGCTCTTGTGGGAAGTACCAGCTATTGTTACACGAAGGAGACAGTTTGAAAAGCAGTCCTTAAATAGCTGCTCTCCTGATGATATTTTCTCCAAAAGGAATTCTTGTGAGTAGCTGGTGCAGGGAATGAGGTTTTTCAGTTTTAGCAAAGCGTTTGAGTGCAGTTGCTGTGTTTTATGCAATGTGTGACCAGCACCAAGTTGTGCTTTGTCTAGTACGCCCTTTTTTCAGATCTTCTAAAAGGTTCTGCTGTTGGTTGAACTAAAAGTGATGTCCCTAATCCAGGAATTGCAAGGCAAAATGGAAATCCTAAAGGAGAGAATGGTCTGAGCCATATTTCTGTGGGAAACTATGTAATTGCTACACTTACCTATGGACTAATCCCCTGGGATCAGGTAATAGATGCATTGACAGGAGTTCACAGAGCAAAAGCTCTTACATTTGGAGTCAGCTGTAGTTTTAAAAGGTACCTGAAATGTTACCAGCAAATAATGGAACCTTTATTGTTGAAACAAAACTGCTGGTGAGAGAGGACAGCTCAGCCCTGCCAGCATTTCAGTTGGAGCTTAGAGAGTGTCCCTGCTCTTTCTCTTCAGTGCTCAGTGAGGGCTGTCCCACTGCTGTGCCTGAGTGCCCTGTGTGCTGAGCCTGGGCAGCTGCAGCAGTGGGGTCAGCACTGCAGTGTGCAGGTGATGATAAAGGATGTCTGGGCAGTCAGGGCCTCTGTCAGACCCCTGGGTCCTTCCCCTTCCCCAAAGGGATGCAGCTGTGGCCTAGTTCCTGTTCCTCCCCTTGAGCTGTGAGCAAGTCAGTGAGGCACCTTCAGCATGACTGCACTGGCATCTGCACCTGGATCTTAAGCTTTTGAAGTGCTTTTTAAAATACAGAAGAGAACTGAGGAATTCTTATTGTGTCTCTTTCAGTCGGTTGCCGAGGAAACAAGGTTCAATTCTGTACTGTACCACGGGAATTGTCCTCCAGTGGCTCCAGTCGGACAAGTGAGTGTCCCTGTTTGATGAGAAACTGAATGCAGTGATGAGAGGAGTCCTGACTCTGTTCTTTCATTTTGCTAAAAACAACTGTTTAAATTCCTCCTCTTCTGTTTTAGGCACTTGTCCAGCATCAGTCATGTAGTCCTTGATGAAATCCATGAAAGAAATCTTCAGTCAGATGTTTTAATGAGCATTATTAAAGATCTGCTAAATATTCGACTGGATCTGAAAGTCATACTAATGAGTGCTACTCTAAATGCAGAGAAGTTTTCCGAGTACTTTGGTAGGTTAAATGCTTCCTAGAAATGTTCCTCTTACATAATTTAGGCTTCTACAGTAAAATGCAGTTCTTAAATTATAGAATTGATTTTTATCAAAAGAGGAGATTACTTAGTTTTCCAGAGAGTTGGCAGCTGCTGGAGATGCTGATTCTCTGTTTTATCTCATCATGAGCAAGTATTGCTTCTGGTTTTGCTCTTCAGACATGCTGTGGAAGTAGAATCCACAGAGTATTTTCCTGTTAAATATTTAGTCATATTTACCGCATTTTAGAATTCGTGGTGTGAGTGGGCAACCAGATCGAACTGTTAGTTGTTCAGCCTCCCAGCTTTATCCTGTGGCTGGAGCCAGGGGAACATGCTGGTGTGCAATACACTGCTTCTTGCTGCCTGTGCTTTTTAACTCAACAGCTTCACTTGGGGGTGAATTTGGTGTATTCCGCGGGAATTTGAAAATAAATAATCAGCAAACCCACACAGACATGACAGCTATATTGCAGAAATAAGGAAGAATTTACTGCCTCTATTACTTCAGTGCAGTGTTTCATTGGTGGTTTTAAAGCTGAGTTATGCCTTCCCCCACAGACCATTGTCCAATGATTCACATCCCTGGGTTCACTTTCCCGGTGGTGGAATATCTGCTGGAAGATGTAATTGAGAAGTTGAGGTAAGTGGGTTTTCTGAACATCATTTCAGAGAGTATTTTGGGGGGGGTTGGCTTAGCATATATGTTCAAAGACTACTTGGAATAAAAAAGAATTGCTTGTATTTTTGAACAGAAAACCTTCCAAGGGAAGTCTCGTAGCTTGTACAGTAATTACAGATGGCACACGGAAATGTTGGCTTGAGGGGGGCAACAACTTTGTCTTTTGATGTGGTGGGTTTCAGGCCTCTAAATCAAGCCCATCTTTGTGGCTGTTGAGGCTCTTGCTCTGCCCATTCCCATGTTTGCTGGGGTTGGTACCTGTTCCTGTAAGGAGGATTTCTGCCTCAGAAGACCCTGAAGAGCTTCACCTCTGTGGTGTGGCTGAAGCACAAGTGCGGTGCAGTGCAGTCGCTGCAGGTGCCAGTGTGGCTGTGTCTGTCCCCATGCCAGGTACAGCCCCGAGAGCACGGAGCGGCGGCCGCGCTGGAAGAGGGGATTCCTGCAGGGCCACGTGAGCCGGCCCGACAAGGAGGAGAAGGAGGAGATCTACCGGGAGCGATGGCCCGAGTACCTCAGGCAGCTCAGGGGCAGGTGGGCCCGGGTTACTCCTTTGCTTTAAGTTTTCAGGCAGTTCCTAACCATAAATTGGTGCTGTATGGTGTTGCTGGGCTTTAGTAATGATGGGGCAGCTGCTGCCATGGAAAACGATGATGGAATTCTTGGCAACCAGGGAAGTGCCTTTGAGCTGTCAGAATTAGCTCCCTTTGCCTGTGCAGACTGTGAGAGTCAGTTGTTCAGTTTAAATTTAAATTTGTTACCTAAATGCAGATTGTTAGTCCCTGGCCAATCCAGGAGGAGATGTATGATCAAAGTGCTTCGAAGGCAGTTCAGTCATGACATGGCAATTCTTAAACTGACAATAATCACACTGAAGTAAATGTGGAGGGGCAGGAATTGATCACAGAACCAAACTGCTCAGAGGTGGGTTAGTGACTCTGTGACTGAGACCTGACAGCAGCAACAGGAGCACGTGGCTCTGTGTGTTCCAGGTTACCAGTGTCTGTGCTTTCCCTGCTGCAGGTATTCAGCAAGCACTATTGATGCCCTGGAAATGATGGATGATGACAAGGTGGACCTTGACCTCATAGCAGCTCTGATCAGACACATCGTGCTGGAAGAGGAGGTACCGTCCTGTCACTGTCACCACTCTGCTGGTGGCACTGGGCTGGGGCCAGGGGCTGTCACAGTGTCAGAGCCAGGGCTTATTTGGCTTATCACACACAGAGAAAGGAAACTACAAATCAGATTTACTTTTAGTTCTTTCTGTGACTGAGTATGTGCTTGTCAAAGGAAGTAGTCTTTGCAGTTTGTAGTAACAGTTACATTTAGTGAAACAGCTGTAGAAAACTCTGAAGGCCATTTTAGTGTACGACTAAATCTCCATTCCTAGTTCCTCTGCACTTGGAGGGAGAGGGCAAGAGCCATACTCAGAGGTGTGTTCACTGCCTCATACTATATTATTAGAAATATCAAGTAATTTAATGTTTCAGTTGATAGATCATTAAAACTGTGGATAATGAGGATGGCTTTGTTCTTTGTTCTTTCTGTCTTGAAAATTACACAGTAGTTCCTCTCTTTTACTTGCACCTTAAATTCTAGTGTTGACATGGCTGTGTTTAAAACACTGCAGGGGACAACATTTAAAATTCAGTTTTTACTTCTTACGTTCAGATAAATACATGTAGCTGGCTCTTTTCTAGAAAAAAAAATGATTGAACTGTTCCAAATGGGAGTCAGTGAGGTTTCAGGTCTCACAGGTCCAGCAGGTGTATCAGTGTGCAAGCAGATGGCTTTCTGCACAGTGAGTGGTGTGTTCTGACCTCTCTTCCTTCTCTCCCTCTTTTCCCTGTAGGATGGTGCAATTCTGGTGTTTCTGCCAGGCTGGGACAACATCAGCACTTTGCACGATCTCTTGATGTCACAAGTCATGTTTAAGTCAGGTAAAACCAAAATTTTCATGGGAATTGTAGCAGTAGCATTAGTGGCAGACTATTTTTGCATGGAATTGTTGCTATTGCACTGGATTCATTTTTAGCTCATCTCTCCTCAAAATAATTGCAGTGTTCAGCAGTTTTTGTGTTTCTGTAGTATCCCTCATCTGCTGATGACAGCAACTCGTTTTCCTCAGTGTGGGAGTGACAATGTGACCTGCATCTCCTTCCTGCTGTCCTTTCCTGTGGCTGTGAGAACCCCCCTCCCAAACTAAACTCCATTCTCTGTTTCCTCTGCGCTGGGTTCTCCAGCAGCTCCCGCCCCCTGCTTTGCTGAGAGCTCCCTCCAGCCTGTTTATCTGAGCTTTGTTATGGGCACTAAAGTGTCTGTGCCTGTCTGATACACTTTAACTTGTCCTTTGGCCCATCTCATCTTTCCATCTAACCTCCCTTAGCTGGGCTCCTCACTATTCAGATGTTGCCTTGCAGTATGTGGTGTGTACAGTCCATAGATACAGAATTTCAGTTTATTGAAAGATTGTGTCAGTTTATGTGTTAAACTTGAGCAATTATTAAATAATTTGAGAGTCTAAAAATAATTATATAAATTACTGTACATAACTTTATATATTTTATTAAACTTGTCATGTCATCATAGCATCATAAAAAAGTCCTTTATACCTTTTTACTTTAGAATTTGCCATTATGATACGAGTATCTGTGAAATCAGAGCAAGAAACAGTAGCCTAACTTGCAGCCTATTTTCTCTATTCTGCATGATTGATTTTCCTGTAAAGTTAAAGTTTCTGTGCTTACACCATATCTTTTACTGATTTTTAACTTCCAGATAGGTTTATTATCATACCTTTGCATTCACTGATGCCTACTGTTAACCAGACTCAGGTATGCTGCTCTTTTATTGTAATATTTCACAACTGCAAAAAAAAAAAAAAGAATGAAGCACATGTTTGGTTTTGGCAAACATATAAATGGGCCCTGGCTGATTACAGGTGTTTAAGAAGACCCCACCAGGAGTAAGGAAAATCGTGATTGCAACCAACATTGCAGAGACCAGGTAAATACCTGGCTGTACACACCCAGAAAAGCTGTATATTTATCAAAACAAATGAAAGTGGTAATTTAAAGTATAAACCTGTTTGATGTTTCCAAAAATATATGTTCCTGTGTTTGTGCCATTCGTTTATAACACTATCTTCAGGAATGTTTATAGACTAAACAGAGTTTTCCTAGAATTGTTTTAAACAGACCAATTCAATTGTTTTGAACAATGAAACTATAGGAATACTAAACAATTACTATATTGACTTGCCTTTGTACGAGATAATCTGAGCTTCTCATCCTCTGTGCACCTTCAGAACCCACGTGGGGGCTTCTGCCAGACCCAGCAGAATAAATCAGCCCTGTCTTGAACTCTAGTGAGGCAATTCTTAATGACATTCCAAACACAGAGTTTTTAATTGTTTACTCACAATTTGGGAAGGGATAAAGAGAAGCCAAGCCCCTTTCCAGTCCTAGGTCAAGCTTGCAGAGATGAAGAGTTGAATTTTTTCTGTTTCCTTCCACCAGCATCACAATCGATGACGTCGTGTTTGTGATAGATGGGGGCAAAATAAAGGAGACTCACTTTGACACCCAGAACAACATCAGCACCATGGCAGCAGAGTGGGTGAGCAAAGCCAACGCCAAGCAGAGGAAGGGTCGGGCAGGAAGGTAAGAGCAGTGGGGATGGGGAGGAAGGGTTGGGATGGGGAGGTTTCCATCAGTCCTGGAGCCCGTGCTGGGGCTTCTGCTTTGTTCCTGCCATGCCCAGCAGCAGGGCTGGCACAGCTGCCTCCTTCCTGGGGAAGCAGTGGTTCCCTTGTCCTTCTGGGAAGCTGAAGTGACCTGTGCTGCATTTGAGTCCTGAGTTTCCCCCCTACAGAAGAATAAGTCCCGTATTTTATTTTAATTTTTGTTGGAACTGTTTGCATTCACACCTGATTTATGAGGCTGATCCATTAAAGTGAAAATGGCTTAAAAATTAATTTCTGTGCTCTCCATGCCTTTTTGCTGCTGCTGGGTCTGTGTTTCAGAAGGCTGAAATGGCTTTTACAATTGGATACACTTCAGTTCTAACTCCTTTAGGTGTTTTGGAAAGCTGTTTGTAAACAAACACAATTATAATGTCACAGTTTCATAGAAAAAAGCAAAAAAACAACCGAAGCCAAAGCAGTTGTTTGTTGAAATCACTGCAGAGTTCAGCCAGGCCACTGTTACCATCTGTACAATGGGCTGCGTGCCAGCCTGCTGGATGATTATCAGTTACCAGAGATCCTGAGGACACCCTTGGAGGAACTCTGCTTACAAATCAAGGTAAACAGGACTCTTCAAACATATTTATAATCTACTTTTCCATTGGAATAAGAGGTTGTGAGAATAATTTAATGCAACTGTGAGCCTAAGATTGTCAGATGAAATTTCTGTTACACCAGAAATGCAGAGTATTTAGCCAATAATTGCAGCACCTTTTGGAAAAGCACACTTGTACCTGGGTGCATCAAACCCAGGGAAACAGGGTTGTCTGGTATCAGTAAAAGGTGAAGTCTAGACTGTGCTTTCCCCCAAATGTCACTCAGTCAGAGGAGATTCAGTGAGAATACCAGTGAGTCAGGGGTGTGATGTCTTAAAAGAATTTTACTACAAAGTGGTTTTAGAACTGAGACGAGCTTCCCTTTTTGGCAGTTTGTATTGAATTCCTCATGCAAGCAGAAGGAGTGCCACATGTATGTGAACTGAATGAAGAATAGATCCTTCTGTTTCAAATTTCATCATTAATACATTTTTTCCCTTAGTTCTTAATTAAAGAAATTCTAACTCAAGCTGTGAGGTAGTCACACTATTTCAGTTATGAGGTTACTGCTGGCTGATTTTAGGCAGCCATCTTTCTCTGGTTGCTGTAGGCTTTTATTGTTTTTTCTTGCAGATCCTGAAGCTTGGTGGAATTGCCTATTTTCTGAGCAAACTAATGGACCCACCATCTCGTGATGCTGTCATGTTGGCCATAAATCACCTCATGGAGCTGGTAAAGTGTTGTTTCATATGCAAGGAATACCTGTGTAGAACCATGTTACATGTGTGTTACCAGACAGGTCTGGCTGCACAGGCCTGGACATTGCACCCCTTCCTTTTGTGTGGAGCCCTGATGTGTCCTCACTGCACAGAGGGAGCAATTTCCCATCACCCAGGATGGTTATGGGCTGCACAGCTGTGCTGGGGCACTTTCTGAATGACTCAAACCAGACACATGGACCCTGCTCTTCAGTTCCCTGCAGACATTGCTTTCCCTCTCTGCTCTGCACTGCCCTGCTCAGCCCTCCTGTGCCTGAGGGCATTCTTCTGGGGGCAGATCAGGGATGTGGGAGAAAGGTATTGTGTGTCATTGGCCCTCTGGATGCTGGAGAAGGAGAGATTAACGACACATTTGTTCTGCTGACTCCTTGCCCTGGTGTTATTTGCACAAATGAGTTGTAGCCATAAATTGAACCCTCTGATTTAGGTACTAGTGGGTGATAGGAGTGTACTAGTGGCTCTTCCAAGGAAATCCTCCCCATTTCACACGATGTGTTTGTTCTTTCCTTTTTTCCCTGTCCTGGCAGAATGCTCTGGACAGGCAGGAGGAGCTGACTCCCCTGGGTGTCCACCTTGCACGGCTGCCAGTGGAGCCCCACATTGGGAAGATGATCCTCTTTGGGGCCTTGTTCTGCTGCCTGGACCCCGTGCTCACCATTGCAGCCAGCCTCAGCTTCAAGGACCCCTTTGTCATCCCTCTGGTAAAGGGGAATTGCAATGAGTGGGGCTTACTGAAATGCTATAGTTTAAAAGCACTTTAATCTGATTTTCCTGTTAATTACATTTTTATTAGTAAGATTGCCATCACATACTACAAATTATTACCTTTACCTACAGATTATTGGAAGTAGCTATAATTTTCATACCAGTTGCATATGAAGTATTGCTGTATCGATGTACCTTAATTAGGAAAAGAGAACTATTGTGTCAGGCTGGATATTTTATGGGTTCTAATTTTTAGGGCAAAGAGAAAGTTGCAGATGCAAGAAGAAAGGAGCTGTCAAAGAACACGAAGAGCGACCACCTGACTGTGGTGAATGCTTTCACTGTAAGCACATTTTAATGGGTTTCTTTTCTTCTAGAACTTTAATTTGGGTAATATAGTTGATCCTAAGGAAAAAGTTGATCAGTTTGTGCTCTGTAGGATTTCTTACTTGGCTTCTAAAGAAACATAAAACCAAACTGATTGTCACCCTTCTAGTGTTGAGGAATCTTGTCTCCAGGCTCAAATACCTGATTTCTGGTGGATAAGTCTGTGAAAGAGACTTAGGAAACTTAATCTTATAGTTTACCTTGCTAAGTTGTTCATTCTTGTCCTTCTGGCCTCTATGAGAGGCCAGAGCTGACTTTAGAAGTGTTAGAGATTGAGCTGTGTTTTGTTGGGTTGAGAAGAGAAGGAAATAAATGGCCTGAAAAATGCAGTTTCTGCCCAGGACTGTTAATAACAAATGATGTTGTGGCAAATGTAGCCAGATTTCACTGCTCCCCATGAAAACCACAAGTTTTCGATTCAGAACATGAAGTTGTGTTTTTCTGCTCAGTGCTGTGTACACATAAACAAAGAGATCCAAGGATTTGCTTTCTCTCTTGGAGGGAAGGATGTAACTGCTTTGTTTGTTCACCTCCAGTTTTTGCTGGCCTTAATTTTGTGGTGTGCTTCCCTTACAAACCCCCTGTGGAACTATGGTTTTTATGTCTAGGGCTGGGAAGAGACTCGGCGTCGTGGCTTCAGGACTGAGAAGGACTATTGCTGGGAGTATTTCCTGTCCTCCAACACCCTGCAGGTAACACCCCTGGCAGGTTGAACTGTGGGCTGGGGGGCCGAGCAGGGCTTTGCTCAGCACCGCTCTGGGGCCGTGGCTGTTCTCTCCTAGATGCTGCACAACATGAAGGGGCAGTTTGCTGAGCACCTCCTCGCAGCTGGGTTTGTGAGCAGCAGAGACCCCAAGGATCCCAAATCTAACACCAACTCGGGTAACTGTGCAGGGACATGGAGCCTTTCTGAGGGCTGGAGCCTCAGCTTGCAGAACTGCCTCATTGACTGCCCTGTCTCCTACAGATAACGAGAAGCTGCTCAAAGCCGTCATCTGTGCTGGCCTCTATCCCAAAGTGGCAAAGATCCGGCCCAGCTTCAGTAAAAAGAGAAAAATGTGAGGGCTTGCTTTAATGTTGGTTTGTGTTGAGGGTGATTTGTGCATGGGGTGGTTTGGAAAGGTGAAGCAGTGGCTCGAGTGCAGGAATGAATCTCACTTTATAGCTCAAGTCATGCCTGTGGGTTACTCCTTTGAGAAGGGCAGATGAGAGTGTGGGTTGTTGATCTCTTAACATTTAGATACCTGCTGGTATTGGAATAATTTGTGTGACCTTATCGTACCATGGATAATGTTCCAGTATATCAGTAGCACTGCTCCAAAGGGCTCCTGCCCTCATTTGTGTTCTGCAGCAGCAGTTCAGACACTGACATTTCTGGTTATTTGGCAAGATAGAGCACAGAAATCCTGGTCTGTTGATTTATCACTTCTTATAGTATCAGACTTTTTTTTTCCTTTGAAGGGTGAAAGTTTGCACCAAGACAGATGGATCAGTTAATATTCATCCCAAATCAGTTAATGTGGAGGAAACCGAGTTCCATTATAACTGGCTCGTGTACCATCTGAAGATGAGGACCAGCAGTGTAAGTGAGGGGTTATGTTTGTGTAGGTTAATTTGGTATCCCTTTGTAAATGAGGTTGGATCAGAGTTCAGAGGGGACATGAACAGCCTTTGTTATGGAGCCTTCCTGTCCCAGGCCATTTCTTTTACACACCATCAGTTATGTTCTTTGTGATATGGGAGTGTTGTGCCACAAATAACTAACTTTTGTGGTTTAGTGGTTGGGGGGTTTTTTGGAGGACTTGGATTTTTTTTTTACAGTTCTGGCAATAACAGGTGTAAATTTTATTTGAATTTATTTTTTTCATTTCAGTCCAGTCTAACACTTAATCAATATGCTGAAATATTCCCCCTTCATCGTTATGGAGCAGCTGGTTTGATTTCACCACTGTGTGAAGGACTGTATTTGGGACCATTTTTGCTCCTGTTCAATCTGATTTTATGTAAATTTTTTTGAACTGAGTTGCTTTATACGTCTTGCAGATTTGTGATTGAATCATGATCTTCTGGAATTCTGTAGGAGCCTCATTAAGAGTTACTGGTGGCCCTTAGGGTGTTTTGAGGGTGATCAGCCAACTTTACTGTCGTGCAGATTTACCTGTATGACTGTACAGAGGTGTCTCCGTACTGCCTTCTGTTCTTTGGAGGGGATATATCCATCCAGAAGGATAAGGACCAGGACACCATCGCTGTGGATGAGTGGATTGTTTTCCAGTCTCCAGCAAGAATAGCACACTTGGTGAAGGTGACTATGTTTAGTAATAATAATGTACATGGAAGGCTCAGTAACACTGATCCGTGGGAATTTCTGGATTTGTTATTACTGTGTGCCTACGGATTCATCACTCAGGGAGATAGTGGTTGAAATGCATTCCCAGTGAACTACACAAAGAAAACAAAAGAGATCAACTTTTCCACAGCAGAAGCTAGAGGATGACTTGGTCATTCCATGAAAACATGGGGATGGGGCTCCTCAGCTAGCAGGAATAAGTTCTAATAGAGCTGTTTAATATTAGATCCCAGAAATCATACCTGACTTTTTTTTTAAAATGTTATTTTTTTTTATTTTTTTTTTAAACCAGTATTTTTAATCCTGAAATAGTCAGCTAATGGATGTGTGGGCTGAGATGGGCATCTGCCATGAAGGGTAATGCTGCTGGTTTTTGAGGGACAGTGTTTGATCCCAGCAATAGCAATGTGGAAATGAACTGGTGGGAGAAGAGCAGGTGTAAAGGTCAGGAGAACAGGGGGACTGAGCTCCTGTGGCAATGTTGTGTGTAGCTCTAACTCCCTGTCTCTTTCCTTTTTTCTCTTTTTTTTCCTTCCACAACAAACACTTTCCAGAATCTAAGACAAGAACTTGATGATCTTCTACAAGAAAAAATAGAGAACCCCCACCCCGTGGACTGGAACGACACGAAATGCAGGGACACAGCCGTGCTGACAGCGATCATAGACTTGATCACCACGCAGGAGAACGAGGGGCTGCGCAACTACGCCCCGCGCTTCCAGGGCGAGCGCTGCAGTTGACACACCGGGGCTGCCCCACGCACACAGCAGAGCCACCTTTTTTATCATAGCATTTCTTTAGCTAGAGGAAACACTTTTCTAGGGTAAGCTGGCGTTTTCCTCATCCTGAAGAGCAGTTCCTTGGGTAGTTGGCAGTGTCTGTATATGCATGTGTTCTGTGTCCAGTGTAGCTCCTGAAGTGAGGGAAGGGCACTGTTGGGTCATGTATGGTTCTTGTCCTGACGTAGCTGTTTTTGTTGGGTTTTTACCCACCAGGTAAGAGATATTTGAAAAGCCTGCTAAAATACTGCTTAGTAATACCTAAACTGTTCTTGCTGCTGGAGAAACATCTCAAAAGACTTTTTTTTTTTTTTTTTTAATTGGGGGTGGTGAGTAATTACAGTGGCTGTGTTATTCCAGCTGTGCAGCAGTCTGCTCACCAGCACTTCCACAGAAGGTAATTACAGCTTAATTAATCTAAACTTGAAAACACTTGTTAAATTTGTACTGTGGGAGGAAACAATCTTCAGAAATATTCTCTTCTTCTGCCTTTCATCCCATTCAATTAATCTTTATTCACTTTCTGTCCCCATCCAACCTCACTACTGACAGAAATTGCAGCTTACAGGAAGTATGGTTAGATAAAAGGCATGGTGGAATATGCTTTAAGGTTCGTTGCATTCGAGTTTTTGATTTTTTTTTTTTTTTAAAGTCCATGTAAGGGTTATATTATTACATTAAAAGTCTTTTCTTTAAAGTGTTATTTCATCTGTTCTTAATGTTTTGAATGTTATTCTGTTTTGAATGATTTCCAGCTATGGAAGAACATTTGAATAACAAAGCTTGTTTAGGATTTTGAGGTTTATCCTCAAGAAATGAAGCTCTTGTGTTGCCTTTTATTTGCCTGCAAATATAACTCTTGTCTCTTCTCTGGGGTTTTGGGGACTTTTTTCTGTGCAAAAATGACTTTGGATCATCAAGCTTGGGAGGATTTATGGGCTTTATCCTGAAGAAAACAGCAGATCAGGTGAAATTAATTTTTTTTTTTAACAGAAATAAGTCGAACTTAGTGACTAGAAGGTGCTTCCCATTGGGTTAACAAGGGATGGAGGATGTCAGGCTCATTGTTTCCCCCCACAGCTGAAAACAATGCATAGTTTAACCTCCCTCCTGCCAACCGTTTTACCCCCAGGTGTTCTAGATAATGAAGGAGGGGGAAGAACATCCTGCCTTAGGGGTTCTGGGTGCACAAGGGAGTTGGAGGGAGAAGTAGCACGGTGGCTGCAGGGAGTGGGGAAGAGCCGGGCCGGGAGGGCTGTGAGGGCTGCGGAAGAGCCGGGCTGTGAGGGCGGCGTGGAAGACAAGCTGCGCCGAGAGCAGGGAATGATGGTGCTGCTGGAGGTGAGCCCCGGAATCAAAGTGGGGGGAAATAGGGGTTAAATTACTGATAATTGTGTGGACAAGGGAATGAAATGAATTCCAGAGTGTAATTTCGGTGCTGGGGACAAGGGCTGTCGTGCCGGGGAGGAGGGAGCAAGATGGCGGCGCAGGGAAGGAGGAGGGAACAAAATGGCGCCCGGCGCTGAGGGGCAGGGACTACAGCTCAGCAGAGGGTCCCACTGCAGACTGGATTTATTGATGAAAGGTTAGTGGTAATGCTGTTACTGGCAGTGCTGGATTAAAAATTGTGAAAATACAGGCTGGCACGTGGTACCTGCTTTATTCTCCTTGTCCGTTGTTTTTGCAGTACTTAAATGATGGTTAAATTTTTAATTAATAACATAAAGAGCAAAAGGAAATGGTAGCAGAAGCAGAGCCTGGGTGAGAATGGCAGCGTTGTTTGAAGAAAGGTGCCTGTTCTCTCAAACCCTGCATTTGGAACGATCAGGGCCAGGCAGCCCAAGGGCCACCCCAGAAGGGACACGCCTGAGGGGTCACGGGCTGGGGCAGTCACATCTGTGCTTAGGAAGTGTCTAATGTCTAAATAATGATGCTGACTGTGCTTGAAACATAGCTTAACATCCTTTAGAGTGGAAAGGTATCAGAAACCTTTGTTCTTTGAGTTTGAGCCTGTTCCAAATGCCAGGTGAGCTGGTTTGTGCTGGGATAGTTTTCCTCACTAGTGTGTCTGGTGCTATGTTTGGATTTGTGATGTAAATACCATTATTCCAGGTATGAAGTTTTGATAAAAATCATTTGCAGACTACAGCAGATAAATCCTTGGATTTCTTCCATCTTGGTGTCAAAATTTATTCTAGATTTATTTCCAGCACTTGTGTTCTGTCCACTTGTTTTCCCTACGTGTGTTACTTTAGGAACAGAAAATACAGGTCCAGAGTGTAGGGGACGTGTGCCTGTGAGTGATGCTTAGCACAGGCTGCGCTCTGTCAGGGTGTGTAGGTTGACTAAAGTGTGCTATTTTTACCTTTTTATTTTCAGCAAATTAGCTTTGCATAATGGGAACAAATGTACTCCTTGCCATGGCAGTCAAGAACACTGCATTACAGCATGTCTTAAAAGTTCAGCAGATAAAAATATTTATTATGTTGTAGGGCTGATATAAAAAAGCAGAAAAGAATATTTATAACTGTTCCATATTATGTGTGTCACAAGTAGGAGATGCTGAGACAGGCTGGAGTCAGGTGGGCACTGGATTTCTGAGCCCTCAGGAGCCCACAGACACACGTGGGCACCTCAACTTTGATTCAGGGAACTGAGAGCATTTTGTTTTTTAAGCATTTTTTAGTTGCTTAAAACCTGGCTCTAGAAGTCAGAAGGAAGGGGTGCACATTCCAGGCCTTCCAAAAATGAGAGTTTTAATTTTACAGTAACAAACTCCCACCTCTATTCTGTCACTGCTGGGTGCTTAATTGAAAACGAGATACTGGTGTCAAGTCCACCTCTAATTAAAAAGGAGATGCAGGAGAGCATGTGTGTCTGTGCATGTGCAGAGTGCACAGGGTGTGAAAGTGCTGAGTTTTTTGGATCACACTCTTTGTAATTAGAAGTACTCATCTTTTAGCTCCAACTTGCTCTAAATTACCTTTTTTTTGCTAATGAAAATATTGTGCAGTTGCTGTAAGGGAAAAAAACCAACCCCAAACCCCTGAGGTTTTGAAAACTTGTTTATACAAATGTTTAGATAAATTGCTTTTTATGCCTTAAATTTCTAAGATCTCTTTGAGCTATGCTGGAATTTAGAGTGCAAGTCCAAGGCAGCAATAGTAGAGCCATCACCCTGTGTGCCACCCCCAGGTAAGGTGTGCATTGTAACTAATGCCACCTTGAGAATGTGATTTAACCCTGGGTCAGCCCTGCAGTGGTTGGACCAGGCGAGTGGTGCAGGTCCCTTCCCCTGAACTGTGGCCAAATTATAGAAAGCAGAGGTAACTGAAGGCTCTTTTTCCATCTCCTGCTTCTCGTTAGTCTCAGCCATCAGCTGTTCTCCCAGGCCTGTGTTCTACACCATGGCTTCAAGGCCACACAGGTAAATTGGATCTGTGGCAGATGAAGTAGGACACAGGATGGTGCTATTTATCTTTACAGAACAGGAACATTTAAAATGTGACAGCTTCCCAAAGAGTTTTCTTTGACAGGAATGACATTAAACAACTGGCATTTTAAGAAATGCCATTAAAAAAAATTCAAAGCTTTTTTTAGTAAGGATTTAAAAGCATTTTATTGATTGTTGTCCTATAAAATCATAGAAGTCTTTAATTCCTGAAGAACTGTGTCCAACGATAGGAAAAATGAAAAATGTCTTTAAAAAAATTACAGCATTTTTGGAAAAACTAGGTATGAAAAATATATACAAGGTATTAAAAAAATCTGAATAAAATTAATGCCTGGATTTATACATTCAGTTATGTGTTAAACATCTGCCTGTATACAATAAATTTGTTAAAACAGTAGCAGTCTTTTTACTATGTTAAATAAGTCTTTGTTCAATTTACAGTTTTTGTCATTACTATTTTATCAGTCCTCTTTTAAATTAATTTACAAGGCTGTATAACCACTGTCAGACTGTCCAGGTAAGTACTTTTGTACAAAATTATTGCCTTCCTAATACAGTTTAAATTGTTAGAGACAGACATTTACAAACACCCAATTCACTCACCAATGAAATCAGCATATTACAGACTATAAAACAACTTCCAGCCCCTGTTCTGAGGCTGGGGAAGGCAACAAGAAGAAAGCCTTGGTACTACAAGTTGTCCCCTCGTTTGCAGTGAGCAGTATTTAGCTGCTGAGTCAGCAGCTGGTCCTTACCCGGTGAGGGTTTGCATCCCACAGTCCCCTGAGCTCTGCTCAGCCCGGGCTGCCCTGTTCACACAGCAGGAGAGGGCACTGGGGTGTGCAGTGCCCTGTGAGCACGGGGCAGCACCACACAGCTCCTGCCAGGCTGTTCCTCCGGCACTGCCCGAGCTCTGATGGTGCCCACAACAGAGAGGAGACCTGGCACCTCAGCCAAACTGCAGCTGTTCCCTCTCCCTCTGCTGTGGATCCCACAGGACGATAAAGGTGCAGGTAAATGGAGTTCAGCAGAACACGGAAAGAACTGATCTCCAGTACTGAAGAGCAGAAACCCCCCAGTCCCAGAACAAAGTACTTCATGTTCCTGCAGCCCATCAAACTCCTGCTCTGAAACAGTAACTGAATCACAGGAGCTTATTAAACACCTGAAGAAACCAGGAACAAATCGGCCCCATTTCCAGCAGTTACTCTCTGCTAAAATACCTGGGCCAAGATGGATCAGCAGCACCTGCTTTGCAGAGTGTGGTACCTTGTTTTTGCTTTCAGAAATCCTTTCACCACTGCAGAACTAAAAGGAGACAGTCTGAGCTGTCCCTGGATTTGCACTGGAGAGGTAGGTTGGCCTTCCTGAAGTACAGAGCTGGTCATTCTAGTTTAGGTCACACAGGTTCTGACACAAGTGGGAAGTATTCCATTAACACCCTGGCTGGTACTGGGACTGTCCCACTGCAGCTCTTTGGGACACCCCCAGCATTGCTGTTCACCTCCAGCTCCATGGATGGGGCGTGTCTGCTGTCCCGTGTCCTGGGCAGCTCTGGGGAAAGCAAGTCAGGATGCTGAAAAACGGAGGGAGCAAGAACAGAAGGAGGCGGGGATGGAGCAACTGAAGTCAGAACTGGAACGCGAGTGAGAAGGATGCAGAGCTGAGCTCCCAGGACACTGCTGTGAGCTGCACTCTGCTCCTGGTCTAACCAGGCTTCAGTTCGGAGCTCTCGGAAGGCGAAGCGAGGACAGACACGAGTATCCAATCATCAGTGCTCTGGTGCAGGGGGTGTGGGCTCCGGTGCCCCCCGTCCCACAGGGAGCCCCCAGCAGCGGGTGCAGAGCATGGTGTGGGGACAGGAACACGCTACACGTTGGTTTCCAGCCCCAGCAGGCGCCCCATGCGCTCCATGTTCTTGTCCAGGGTGGCACGGCAGGTGATCTCCTTGGCACACTCCATGGGGAACCAGCCCCGCTGCCCGTCCCGCAGCCGCTCCCCCTCGTACCAGCCTGCAGGGACAGCAGGGACACATCACAGCTCTGTCACACCTGGCTGGCCTGCACGGAGGTGACACTCAGAGGCATCACACCCGTTATACACCTGCCTTGGCACTGAATAAAGGACCACATTAAGAGAGATTTTTATACAGGCAGACTAGGGAAGAAAGTCTACGTAAAATGTATTACACAATTTCACTAGTTTTTTTATATTGTAATTAAAATATAATTTGCAATAATGACTATACCATCACTGCAATCTAAGGAGAGTAGTGCAGCACAAGTGACAGCATCTTGGATTTCATACGTAACACTGAGTAACATCCAACTGGGATTTATCCCTCAAGTTCTGGCAGTGTCCTGCCTCCCTGAGCCAGCACATGGTGCTGTCAGTGGAGTCACAGGCATGTCCAGGCACGAACCAGTTTTGATCTTGGGGTGCTTGATGCTGTGGAAAACCTCAGCAAACTCCCTGAGCCAGAGCTGTGCCTGTAGTAGGCAGGGAAGCTCAGGCCATGGCACTACTCAGACTGGGGATGCTTCTCGTGGACAACCCTGGCACTCACTGGAGTGTCTGAGCTCCTCATTTTTAGATAAATGCAATTTCTTATTTGTGGACATGTCAAAACCAGGCAGCACACACATTCTGCAGCTGATTATACTCTGCTCATCTGCTGCCCAACAGAGCCTGTCCTTTAGAAACCTGAACCCAGATGTCCAGGCTTTTCTTGGAAGCTGAACCTTTTCTCAGTTGAGGCCCATGCTATTAGAACCAATTTTTTCCAGCTGGATCTCCTGCAGAGGTGGTTATGACTGACAGCCAAACCTTCACTCACCATCATTCACTTTTTGATAAACCAGAACGACATCAGCCACTTGGAGGGACAGTTCATCGGCCTGCTTGGCTGTGTATGTCCTGATGATCTCCACCTGAGCCAGAGCTGGGGAGGAACAAGCCAGGCTCAGTTAAACCAAGCTCAGAGCAGTGCACCTCATTAAAGCACACAGACCATTTCTTTTGCAAACCTCCAGGGTGCACTCCTCCCGTGCCCCTCCCCTGGGCAGTCCCACCCCCGAGGGTCACTCACTCGTCCTGTCCGTGTGCAGCCCGTCGCTGTCCTGCCCCAGCGCTGTGATCCACCGCGCTCTGTCACTCCTGCAAGGCAGCAAACAGAGCCCCGTGTCCCAGATCATGCTCTTGAGAGTGTCAGCACTGAGACTGCCCTTATTTCCTCCAGAGTCAGCACATATCTCCTCAGCACCTGGGAGTAACCTGGGTGTATCACCAGTGTGTGTATTTTGTGCCTTAGTGACAGGACGGTACAAAGGTCTAACCTAACCCCGGTTCTTTTGTCCTCAGGAGCCACACACCACATGAGGTGACAAAACTGAACAACTGTGCTGGAAATCTTTGTGTCAGAGAAAACATTTCAGTTTTACCTGCACAAACCCCTGTTCCATAGGCACTCTGACCCACCCAGCTTGGCCTTGGAGATTCCCTTCCCAGCCTGCTCACAGTACAAGATAAGACTGTAAAAATAAGTCATGTTTAAATACAGGAATTCTTTTCAGCCTCTTCCTCTGAGTGATGATCTACTATTTATACTGCAAACAGTACAGAACAAATCAATAATAAATCTGAAGAACAAAATGTCTTTTCATCCAAAGCCCAGACAACTAAAAATGTCCTGCATTTTTTCCCCAATAAAATCGCATTTTCAAACAAGTCTGAATCATCTGCTGCCTTCATAATGAGTTCTTTCATAGAAAGCATTGATGATCTTTAGTTTCTTTCAGGGTTATTCTAAACTTTGAAAGCAAACCTAAAACTATCAATTTTTCCAGGCAGGGATATGTCTGGAGCTCTCCCTTTCATGTGTCTGTCCCGCCTCCAGCTTCCCCCGAACAAACAGACCCTCTCAGTGCTGGGGAGGTCGTGCGGAAGTTAATGGCCCTCGGAGCCACGCTGGGCACCCACAAACAGGACCCTGGTTGTTGCTGCTCACACTGCCCAGGAGAACAAGGACCAGGCTCTCCCAGCAGGGACAGCTCTCCTCCTCCCACTGCTGCCCCGTCGGTACCCACAGCTCAGTGCCAGGGACTGGGCTCAGTGTCTGCCCGCTCCCACCCCGGGCCCTGGGACACTCCTGTCCCCGTCCTGCCACGGTGGGACAGCCCTGACCCGGGTGAGGGACCGGACACAGCTGTGACACCACCCGACGTTACTGCAGCCCCTACTCACTGAGTCTCTGCTCCCAGCAGCATCTCCACCCTGTCCCCCGCGTGGTTGCTGAGCACCAGCAGCCTGAAGAGGTGGGCGGCAGAGCCCCGCGAGTGCAGCACCGCGTTCCTCCCGGGAGAGCAGCCGGGCTCCTCCTCGCAGGGCTGCACCACCAGCTGCTCCCGCAGCGAGTGCTCCGTCACCGTGTAACTCTCCTCACTGCGGGACAGAGCGGCACAAACACACCCCGGGTTAACGGCTGGGTTCCACTCAGGAGGTCTGGGTGCAAACACCATCGCAGAACCCACATTTAATTCCAGAGTCCAGGATGGTTCTTCCAACACCTCATCTCCACGGGTGGGGTAACAGCTCCTGCCACTGTGTTTGGTGTGAAAACCAAGCTCTTACTGGGCTCTGTGGGGTGTGTTTTCACTGTTCTGCAAATTAAATACTGAAATGTTCTGGTTTTTTGCAGAACAGTTTTGTAGGTGATGGACACAGAACATGCCCTGAATGGAACCCCTCCTGCTCTGCTGCTCTGAACCAGGGAAAGGTGGGGTGGGTTGGGTGGGTTTTGTTCGTTTTTTTTTTTTTTAAAGAAACCAGTTCAGTATTTTAGTCTGGACAACTCCTGCTTAGCCAAGAACAGAACTGGGAATGCTGCCATCATTACTTGGAAGACTTGCATCTGAGAAAGAAATGTGTCCATACACTTGTGTAATGAATAATAAATGCATTCCTTGCTAATTATCAACTAGTTTGCACATGTGCACAGCTAATCATAACTGCATTTCTTACCAGTTAATCAAGAGAAACCTTTACAAACCCCTCCTACTCCTTACCTCCATTCCACAAACCAGTGGGATCAGCCAGGGCAGGGCAGCCCTCACCCTTTGCCCTCTGTGCCTCTGGTGCCCACACAGTGCCTTGTGCTGCCTTTGGTTATGGAATCCCCCTGGCATCCTTAGACAAACCACAGGATTGCAGGTAACGCTCCCAAGAGCACTGACCCTCTGGCAGGTAACATTCCCAAGCAGCAGTGACCTTTGGCCTGCCAGCACTGACTGCTCCTGCCAAGATACTGCATTAAACCCTCAGAAGTATTAAATCTTTTTTTAATGATATTTGAAAAAGAGTTGGATTGTGTCTACACACAGAAGGAGCTACAAGGACAACTGACAGACAAAACATTCCCAATAAACTAAAAGCTGGGCAGTGAGTGGGGAGAAGCAGAGTTTTACTGCTCTCCAAAGCCTTGTGCACAATGACACATCCCAAATTCCCATGTCCCCTCCTGGCCCGATCCCAGGGAGCAGCCCTTTGCCTCGCTCCCTCACAGGGCCAGTGTGACAGAGCAGCTGCTGCTGCCCCACAGGTCAGAGCCTGTCCTGGCAGTGCCACCCCACAGCCCCGCAGGGACCGGTGCACGGAGCCAGGACAGAGCTGGCGAGGATGGGCCGAGCCAGGGCTGCCCACGGACTCTGGGCAAGGACCAAACTGTGCCACTGCAGCGCTCACAAAGCTCTATTTTTAGCACAAAGTGATGTCTTACTGCAATGTTAAGAATCTTCTGCTCAAGGAAAAACACAAATATTTAACCTCAACTAGCAACCAACATTTCTGTCCAGTGCTGCAGTGCCGTGGCAACACTGTGGGTGGGAGCACAGAGCACCCAGAGCCCAAACTCTGTTAACAAGCTTTGTCACTTGGGCAGGGGGAGCTTCCTGCTCAGGGTATCGGGGGCTCAGAGCTATTAGTGCTGTTCCATCACATCCCTTCTACTGGGTATCCTGGGACAGCAACCGTGTGAGTGTGCCAGTAACACAACAGGTTCTGTCACCGGCCTCTGGGCCCAGCTGGGATATCTCCCTTCCAGCAGCTGGAAGGTGTTACAAATCCAAAGCCCGAGTTTGGATCAGAGCTGCTGTTACACAAATGTGGTGTGTGATCGGGACAGCGACAGGGACCAGTGAACAGGGACCAACAGGGATCAAGGACCTGTCACTGCTCCCCCAGCCCCAAACTGGCACAGCACAGCAGCCCCACGTTTAACCCAGTGTGACCCAGCTCTGCAAAGAGCTGCCAGGGAGGGGACAAGGGACTGTCTCACAAACATCCAGCACGAGCTTCAATAAACACGGAATCTCAGAGACCTTCACACCAGCACAGCAGACAGGGAGAAATCCAGGCACATTTCTTCCCAGCTTTAGAAAAAACCTCCACTAAAATAATTTTCCCCCTTCACTTTGGCTTCTCTTTGCTTAAATATTACCATTTTCTTCCCAAATGTTATATCATACCCCACTCCTCAAAATTTATTTCAATTACAGGTTTGCAGTCTCACAGAAGGGTTTGGCTGAACAGGCCAACCCAGATGCAAAAATAGTTCTCCAGAACAGTTCTCAGCCTCAGGAATAGGGTTCATTCCTCAAGTATTATCCAACAACAGCAGCAGAGGATATAAGTTCCATCCAATTTGATTATTCTACACCTCCCCTCAAATCCAGTGATAAAAATGTAAATGGCAACTGCTGGAAGTTGTACCACATCTGCCATCCTCAAAAACCACCCAAGCGTGGGGAGTGTGGAGGGGAATGGACATTCCTGCTCCTTTATCCTTCCCAAACTTCTCCCTTGGCTAAGGCATCAAGAATGAGCTTTTTAACTAGTTTGACAGTTTGGAATTTCAATTGTGTTTGCCAAAAGTAAATCCTGTTTAATGAGCAGTTCCTCGTCGTTTGCACCCAGGGGCTGATGGACAGAGACTCAAATAACTGCTGAACTCATTTCTCAGCCACCACCGCGTTAGATGTCAACGCTTCAAGGAGTTGAACACAAAGGCAGTTTTATACTGGTGAAGCTCTTACCTCTTCTTCTTGGTGATGATGAGGACATCATTGAAGAGGAAGAAGTAGACCTGCTGCTTAGAGGTTCTTTTGGAAAAAAGTCCAGTGTCTTCTACATACGCTGTTAATTCGCCCCTTTTCACCAACCACCGTGAAGAGGAAACCAGTGGAAAGGGCTGCAAGGCAAGAAAATCACATTTTAGTCCTTCAAATGTAGAGATATTTTTAAAAAATCAGAGACTGGAGTACGATGTATTTGGGGAAGATGCTTGAATAAACTCAGAGCTCAGAGACCACAAAGGGGTTACCACAGTTTAAGGGACCTCCATCACTCCTACAACACACAGGTAACAGCTGCAAATACCTGGGAATCACTCAGGCACCTGATCATTGCTCAGCAAAAGTAAAAATGAACAGACCTGACTGGTCACACTTGGGGTGGAACAGACTGTGAGACCTCCCGAGGGCAGTAAAACCGAGCCTGTCTTCCAGGAATGTGTTTGTGGATGGCTCCTGAGGCACCTGTGCACACTGGACTGTGCTCCCGGTGCCTCCCAGCTCTTCCCGGAGCGCCGGAGACACTCCCTGTGCCAGTGTCACCCGGGACACTCAGCCAGGTTTGCACAAACCTTCACCCCCCAGCAGGTGCAGGTAGAACCTTCTTCCTTCCAAGGCTGTTACCACCCCACACCTCTGATGTGTTCCCATGGACTGCTGTTCTCAATAGGAGCCCTTCAAGTCCTGTCCACTGGCAGGCTTTATTTAATATGGAGAATGAAGGATTCTACAGTTTCTCTCTGGGTGAGGACCAACACCTGCAGCAAAGCCACAGAGGGTCTGAGCTGCCTGATGTGAAGGTCTGGATTTATTAACCCAAATTATTCCCAACTGCAGGAGAAACAGAGCCCACAGAAGGCCCTATTGTTTCTCTGTGCATGAACACGAAAGGAGATGTGAGACTGTGTGTCCTGGTCACACAGAGCCTCTCTGAGGCTGTGACACAGCCCAGGGAAGGGCCACACTAATGAACACAGCTGCCTGTTTCCCCCTCATTTAAGCACCTCTCACATGCTTTTAAAACACCCCCTTCATGCAGCCTGTCAGCTCCTTCCCATTCTGCATGAGCTGCCTTTGTGCATCCCTTAATCCCTGTGCTGTGCCTGTACCTGCCCAGGGGGCTGAGCCAAACCCAGCCCAGCTGGGACTGGGACCCTGCTCGTGGAAGAACAAAACAGGAACTCCCGAAAATAACCCCCCGCAACTTCTCTGCTGCTAAAGATGAAAAGTTGAAGAACTTCTGAACCTTGATTAAAAACTCAGTTCTAGAGATGTGCCACGTACAAAAGTGACACAAGATCTGAGTTGCTCCTCTTGTGCTCCCATGAAATTCTCCACAGTTACATCTAACAAAATAATAAACAAAAATCTCCAAACACTCTGAGGCTGGGCAAGAACAGAAATACTTTAACTAATTTATAATGGTTATAAAACAGAATTACAGCCCCATGATGATTGGTTTACAAGCAAAAAATACTTTACAAAGTTCTATTTGAGGATGAACTAAAAATTCCTCTAATCTGTACTCCAAGTGAGTTCATCCCATTTTCCTAATTGACTCTATTCCAGAGGCAGCTTGGTTTTACTTTAATTTTTCCTTAATTGCCAAAGGAGCACATCACGTGCACCATCTCCCTGCTACAGAAACAGGCTCTCAGAACTGAAAAATGCCTTGAGCCCTGGCCAAAGTGGGGCTTCCTCTGCCAGCTGGCAACTCCCCCGACCAGACAGGGCCTGAGCCACCACAGGCTGCATTTGGGATGCACAAAGGAAAATTCTCCCATAAAAGCACAGAAGGACAAAGTCCCCAGAGCTGCTGTTGCTGCCCCAGCACCAGCACGAGCTGCTCCCCCAGGGAGGGGATGGACAGAGCCCCCGTCCTGAGGGAAGGGACAGGAACCCCCGAGGGGCTCCTGGGATTGGGAACTGAGTGGAACCAGAGGGGGGCTCAGCCCCAGCACTGGGCTGGGCTCACCTGAGTCTGGTATCACCACTGTCAGGAAATGGCAGAAGTGTTTTATTTGTTGTTGCTGTTGCTCTATGTAAATATTAGTACTGTTTCAATTTTTAGTCAAAATTTGAGAATAAAAATCCTTTGGACAAGTTGAAAAACCTCTTTTTGGAGGCAGCGTTTCCCCCAAGCCCGACTCTCACAAGAGCCACGCTTTTAAAACCATGAACCTCCACTCACTACACGTCTGATAATGAAACAATCTTCTCTCAAAGGAATCCTCACTGTGTAACAGTGTCAGACACTCAGGACAGAAATGGGATTTCAGCAAACATTGAATAGAAAACAATAAATGTACTTGAAGAAAGATCTTCAATGTCCAATAAACCCCCTGCTATATATGACTGGGTCTGCTGGTTATTCCTACCACAAAGACTGACTGGAGATGATTTTTTAACAGAAACCTGAGATGTCCCACCCTTAAGAGAAAGGACAAACATCCCCAGGATCCTTCCCTGGCCTGGAAGCTTTTTCCCAGGACATCTTGCCCATCAGGTACATGAGAACACCTCAGCACTGAGCAGCATCTCCTAATGCCAAAACCTTCACAGCAGCTTAGTTTGTACAGCAAAGAATACTCTTATTTCAGTATATATTCAAAACCCTTGTGCTGTAGTGTCACCTTCTACTAGAAATGATCAAAATACTTGACCAAAATTTTAATTTTTGTCCTGACACATCAGATGGTTTCTTTGCAAGAATCACTGTGGGATATGACAACATGGTAAGAATTCCACTGCTTCCTGTGTCAATGAAATGGTCAGAAATATCCTCCTGCCCATACCTTGATTTTGAATTCCAGCTGGGAGTTAATGGTGTACATCATCTCCGTCCTCTCCATCTTCCGAGCGCCCTCGTTGCACAGACGGACCAGCTGGGAACGAGACAGGGCTGAGTTGGGCTCAGGGATTGCACCAACTGCTGTTCCCTCAGGAAAGGCACTTCCAGGGAGGCACAACCCCCCAGCAGTGACACTCCAGGTTGGGTCACCCCAGAGGGTGTCCACGGGTGCCCAGGGCTGGCCCCACACCCGGCCCTGACCCCGAGACCCCCTGACCCCCACAGCCCCCAGGACCCTGGGAACTGGTTATTCAGGGGCAGTGGTGCAGAGCCCAGCCCAGGTTCTGGCTGAGCAGGGCCACAGTGCTCTGCTCCAGGGGAATGATCAGCTCCACACACAGCCCTCCCCTGCTCCAGCCACGCTCTGCTCCCACACACACACCCAGCAGCACCAGTGGCACCAGTCTGGGCTCTTTTCCCAAGTAATAACCAGTAATTCTGGTGTAAAACCCATCCCCAGGGGCCCTTCTTAAATACAGCAATGTGGAGGTTTTATGCCTCAGTGCTCCTCCCACCTGCATTATTATTGCACAAAACCCATCCCTTTTCCCTCACAGTGCACAGGAATGTTCAAGGGCCAAGGTAATGTCCAGCCCCAGTAAGCAGAGAAGTGGCTTTTTGTTCCACTAAACAACACCCAGCACTTCCCATCTCACATCAGCCCATGATACACTACAGCTCCTGAAATGCTGAGATCTTGGGAGGTAAAAAAACCCAGTTTTCTTTTCATACCCCCACGTTCTGTTTTAAAGAGGTGTCTTTTTTAGAATATAAATACATTAGGCAGATCAATTGGAATTTCCCAACAATTAAACAAAACAAGGGATAATCTGCTTGCACAAGTTCAGAGGGAAGGACCCACATTTATTATCCAAGTCACTGTTGTTGTAATGTACAGTCTGTGCCTGCAAACTGGACTCCTGCTCATCTCCCACCACTGACTCCTGGCAGAAAACCCTGACTAGAGGAGAGCAGCTCTGAAGCACTGACAGCAGGGCAGCTGGTTCAGTTAAGTCTGCTCAGAAGATTCAGACTTTCTTTACTGTCAGGACACTGTTCTGGGGTTTTGATACACACAGTCCACCCTGGGCTTTCTGTTGGAACAACTGGCATAAAACACAATACATTTGTCCAACTACACAATGAAACAGGTGAACAATAAACATGAAAATTAATTCTCAAGTGACCAACAAAACCCCAAAGCAGCCACTTCTCTGGTGGGTTTCTGAAATGACAAAGGCCTGGAGGGCGATTCAGGAAGGCAAACAGTCAAAGCAGGAAAAATTCTGCAGAGAAAAATTTCAGTGAGCACTTAAGAATGTACCTTGCTGACTTCTTTTAGAGCCTGCTTGCAGTTCTCATATTTTGCTGAATCCTTGGGTGTTTTCTGGCAAATGGTCTGAAATAAAACATCAGTTACTTCAGAGGACCAAGCAGCACAGACTGCAGCCCACAGAGAACTCAGAGTCCATGAACAAACTGCCCAGGTGATCAAATTAATCAGTGTCCAATTTGCAAACCTACAGAACCAAATCATCAGTCCTGTCTCTGGCTCCTACCAGAGTTGGACTCCGAGCCTGGATCCCAGTTGGGTGTTCCAGCTCCTCCTCTGGTTCTGGCACCTCACCTGAACTGCCCCGAGCCCTGGTGTGAACTGTGGCACCAACACTCCTGGCACTTCCATCACACTCCCGGGCTCCCCAGTCGCTGCACAGGGAGGGACAGCTCAGTGCCACCCCCACACAGCTCCCCTGCCCTTGGGAATGGAGTGCATCCTTCGGGAATGGAGTTCCACTACAGACAATTTCTGTGCTGGAGCCTCCTTGGTTTCAAAATTATTGTGACCTTTACTGTACAATTTTCCTATTAGAATGTCCAAATCTTTAACTTGTGAATGGGGTCAGGAGCAGGAGGGACCAGTCACAGTCAGCAAACAAATGGAGCAGGACTCCATAACCCACAGCCCAGGACATACAGCCCTGGACTGGCACAAGGGGGAAGATATGGAGAGACTGGAACGAACCAGGAATTGAGTGCGAGAGCATGTGAACACTGAAGGAACATGTATCAAGGAAAAACAGAGGAATAGCTGTTCTCACATCCATCAGTAAGGGGAGACGAGTGACTCTCTGCATGGGAAGGATGAGGAAGGAGATCATGGGCAAATTCCTGCAATCCTCGTGGGACTCGATCCGGGACAGCACCTCCTTAAACGCTGGATTTGTGGCTCTGGGGGAAAAGAGGGAGAGGATTAAATGGTGTGTTTTACCAAATAACTGTGCAAGTTGCCAGATCTCAAATAAATCCTGGTTTCATTGCCAGGGAAATGTGATTTGCAGGAGCTGGATCACCTAAGCCCGGCACTGACACCAGACTCAGGCACTGCCATCCCTGGCCGTGAGGGCAGACCCAGGGGAGCCCGTGGGACACTGAACCGATGCAGGAAAGGGAACCAACCCCTGTGACCACGGCAGGGTTGGGCTGTGCAGCCCAGCGAGTCCCCAGGGACAGCTCAGCCTGTCAGCACATGCTGGGAGCCCCAGGTTTTGCACCCAACTGCAGAGCCTCCCCCTCACTCCCAGCACAGGTGGTGGTGCAGTGCCAGCCCCGGTGCTCACAGCAGCCTCTGCAGGGTGCGCTGCTGGTACACCTCGTTGGTGCAGTACTTCACGTAGGGGTCGAAGGAGGAGGCCGCGTGTTTCTCCACGATGTCACTGATGTCATCGATGAAGATGTTGTTCTGGTGCCTCGCTTCCAGCTCTTCAAAGAACCTGGGAAGAGGAAATGGGTTCCTCACTTTGACAAGAAAACAGCGTCTTACTCTCATGGCATTTCCCACTTCACCTGCCACGAGCCGGGACTTTACAAACTAATGACAACTGGAACGGTTGGTGACAGGGTGAGATCATCCCTCCTTTGGCAGGGCAGCGAGGGAAATCCTGACAGGACACAAATCCAGGGGTTGGTGTCCCCTGGCAGCTCAGCAGCAGTGTTGGCAGAGGCAATTCCCACTCTCCCAGTGCCAGAACCCAAACAGCATCACTGAGCTGGTCAGACCAGAATTTCCAGAAATGGGGTTGGAAGAGAAATGAAACTACTTCAAACACACATTAACACATTTCCTCTTGCAATTAAAGGCAGTACAACACCAGAAGTGCTCAATGAAATCAAGGTCTGTGTGACTGCTGAGCCAAAGACAAAAGCCATGGTTGGCAGAGGGGGACACGATGCTCATGTTTCACATCCTCCAACCCACCCCTGGAACCAAACACAGATTGGAAACACTGAAAACGGGCACAGAACCCAAAATCCTCTGCTGGCTCCTCCCCTAACCATGCTTGTTGTCCCACATGGAAGTCTCTTTGGCCTCTGGAAGCTTCCCACTCCTTTTGGCACTCTTAACTTTCCCACAGCACGAGCCTTGATTTCCACCACACTCGCTAGAAACCTCTCCCTGTTTGGGGAGTAAGAGCTCACACAGACCAGCTCTGCAGGTCCCCACAATTCCCCCCACAGCACACTAGTGCCATCCTCACACATGCAGAGCTGCTGACAATACCTCACCAGCCCTGGCCACAGCCTTTGTACATCAGGATTCACTGCCAGAATCCTCAACTCCCTGGAGTCAATGAGCTTGTTAAAAATTCTCACATAGTAGAGAAAACATTAATAAAATACTTGGAACTCATGATCCTACATCAAGTTCAAATATTTTGAAACCTGTTTTATTTCATTTCAGCCCTTTATTCCATTTTCTCATCACTAACAGTGGCTCTTCATATCTGTCACCTTTTTTCAAGTGTGCCACTGATGTTCTCCAGAGTCTGTTTTGCAAACACACCTCAAACCTGTGAGAGGAGGAGAACAGGATGAACAGCAGCTGATCACCCACGTGTGTAGGAACAGGGGTTAACTAAGTTAAGGTATTTTCCAGAGGCAGCTGCTGCACTGAGTGGTTGCCAGGCTCCCACTGGGTCAGTCACAGAGTCAGGACAATCCAGGGGATTTTGTCCCATTTTGGATTTTGTTTGGTTTTGTTAAGTTTGGACACAGTAACTGCACATGCACTGGCTGATGTTTGTGTTGGCATTTCGTGGAAAACAGGGTACCACAAAGAGGCACCACCTGCCCTACTACAGCTTCCCCCTTCCCTTCCCCTCTCAGCAGTGCTCTTTAACAGCCTTGTCACCTCTGAAGGGCAGAGTCCCCACACCCTCTGCCCCCCCATCCTCTCAAAGCACAACACATTCCAAGTTGTCACTGACTCTGCTGTGCTGTGGATTTGGGCTGAGTGTCAGGACATCCCACTCACTGCTCCCAGAGCTCCAGGGACACACACTGAAGGGAAGAGCTGCCTCAAGTGTCACTGGGGTCCAAGAAGGTAAAAAAACAAAAAATGAAATAAAAGAGAGTCTCCAAGTCACAGAGTCTGCAATTTCTCATGAACCACAACAGATTCCCACCCCTGCCCACCAGGAACTGGGATTCCTCACTCTGCTCAGACATATTTACAGCTGGGAACACCTCCCACTGCTGCCAATTTACTGTGCTCAGGAAATGAGGAAATGCAGAGTTTCCTGCTGGGTTATGGCACCCTGACAAGGTGTTGGACCCTGCTGGGCCACAACTTCCACTTTTAGAATTTATCTGGTGCTTCATCAATGACATCAGACACAGTTACTGTAAGATTGGTAAAAATCTGGGATAAAGAAAAAATGGAATAGAGGGGCAGAGAGAAGCAGCACCCCCAAGTCCATCCCCCCAAAATGTACTACAAGGAAATCATGCACTGAAGTTTGAATCAAAGGTTGTGGTTTTTCACATCCAATCTGCTAATTCCTAGATACATTCAGTGAATCAGACACATCATAAACCCTTTCACTTATAAATTTAGGACATCATCTGTCACATCTCAGGACCAAGGGATGGAGTGATTAAATTCAATTTAACCAAATAGGAATTAGCTGTGCTGTGTGATGCTTTTTTTGCTGAATACCAGAAGGATTTATTTAAAGAATCTGTTTCTGTTAATTCCAGAACTTTTCAGGTTGAAGTTACATCCAATTAAGTGGAAGTCAAACAGCATCACAGGACAGAATTTGATTTCCCTCATCTTGCCCTTATGTTGTTTAAAAGAAACGTCCAATCTGTACCACTCCAGCCCCTCCCCTAAAGGCTGAGGGCCAAATCCAGGACTGCAGGTTTAGCTCATTCCCTGTTTGTTTGTGTCCAGCACAAGCTCCAGAGACACCGGAGCTCTGGCAGTGCTGGCTCTGCCCTGTGTGACAAGTTTCCTCCTCACAGCTCTGGTGGCTCCTGTAAAGGCTCTTCCCGTGTCTCCGAGCAGATCAGCTCCTGGAATGACCCCCAGGAACAACTTCCTGACACTTGCTCAGGCAATTCCCTCAGACTGTTCATTCCTCCTCACTGGCACTGCTTTATCCAGGACCGACAGCCCCCAGCTCCTCCAGGACTCCCGTTAATTGGGGTGTTAATTGGGGTGTTAATTGGAGTGTTAATTGGGGTGTACAGTCACAGACCCACAGCGCTCCAGGAGCAGCCCCAGTTCCCCACAACCCACCTTTGCAGGGCCCCAACAGCTCGTGCCCAACTGCCAAAGTCCCACCACAGAGTTCTGCTCCAGCACAGCCCAGGGGCCGTTCTGGCCAATGTTTCTCCTCAACATTTACTCTCCCTTCACCCCTGGATAACTGAGCAGGACTTACATTCCCACAAATACTGGATCCTACCATCTGCATATTCCAAAATTAGGCTGCACTGGATTAAGAATTGTTGCTCAGTTTGTGAGGTTATCAGGCCTAGTGTCTGACACAAGGCAGACTGTCCTGCAGACTCAGCTCGAGTGCTGCTGCTGCCACATGGCCACCCAGGAACAGAAACAATCCACTGCAGTGGCAGAGAGCACAATTCACCTTCCTCCTCCCAGAGATAAGGGAACTGGAATAACAATTGCCAATTTCAGATAACTTCAGATAAAAGTAATAAAGATTTCTGATTAGACTCTCCAAATGTGAATCTTCTCACCAGGAACAGAAGCTGAACATCTGCATCACTCTGGTTATTTGGGGAAGGGGAGGGGGATTTAAAATAGTAAAAATGTGAAAAAATCCATCCTTTTTTCCATAGAATTTTTATGCTGAATCATAATCAGAGCTTTTACAAAAACCTAAATAATGGAAACCAACCTGTATCTACCCACATAAATATTACACCAAACCCCACACAGCCAGCAGCCCATAAAACACCTTTTACTGGGCAATGCCCATCAAACTCTCCAAACCTGGGCTGGCACCTGCAATCCCTCAGTCCCAGCAAACACTGGTGCTGCTGTAACACAACAGAACTAATCCATTGTTGCTCATATAAGAATATGAATCATATAAAAACATCAATTAAGCATTGCTTTGCCTTGGGAGGAAAATCTCCACCTCAGCTAGAAACAGCAGCGACTTAGAGTGCCCAGCAAACTCTGCAGGGAAAGCGTGGAATTTATTTTCATTTCCAATGACAAATTCCCCCCAGGCTCCTGCCCCCAGCCCTCAGAGCCAGCGGGTGCTGCCCTGGGCACCCCCCAGGCTGTGCCACACCACAAACACTGCCAGGCTCATCTCCCCACCAAGGTGCCCCCACTGAAGCTCCAGACAAGGGCAAGGCCAGAGGGCAGGTTGGACGGCCCCGGGAGGTGCTTTCAGCAGAGGGAGCAGCAGTGCCTGTCACGGGACAGCCAAGGGCAGGACACAGCCCCCAGTGCTGCTGGATTCTTCCTGTGCCACCCTGGACTCTGCAGCCCCTTCCCTGCCCATCTGCAGCCATCATCCAGGGCAGCAAAACATCACACAGGCCTAAAACCAGGGAGAGAGCCACAGGGTTTGACTCTGCTGCACACAAAGCTGCTTCTCCTCTAAAACGTTCAAATAAACGTCTGTATCCATGATGTTCCTACTGACACAGCCACATCCATAAGAGCAGCACATCCCACCCTGGCAGGGGACATTCCCCTGGTACAAACCCCACAGACCCACTTCACTGCTCCCAGAGCAACGGGCAGGCCTGAGCCCAGCTCCTGTGTGTGCAGGGACAGCCTCCAGCTCAGGAACTGCAGCTTTGAAATCTCATTTAAACACAGCACACTGAGCCCAGAGTCCCTGAGAGGAGCCAGGGGGACACACAGCCATCCTCCCCCTGACAGCCTGGCTGAACACAGAGCTTTCCAGGCTTACCAACACCTTGGTGCCTTCTCAAAGCTGCACATTTGTTGTGCAAGAAGGGCAGTGGCAGATCTCAAACCACACTGATCTCGCTCAGCCCCAGTCAAGAGAAGCTGCTGCTTCCCTCTGCATCAGGCTCTGCCCAAGGAAAGCTGAGATGTGAGTCCCAGGAACTGCTGAACCTCCACCCACTTTACTGCCAAAGGAACACCCAGATAAACACAGTTAGTCTATTTTGTGCTTCCTGCAGCAACAGTAAATCTAAATACTGGTGAGAGATCCCTAAGCTGCTCCCACAACAGCTCTGCAAGCCCCACCAGCAAAGCCCAGTGGCTTCAGAAGGTCTGTGTGGGCAGTCCCAGAGATTGTGACCCCAGTGCTCTGCAGGAAGGGACCTACAGGACAAACACAGTTTGGGTTACAGCTGGAAGGCTTTACAGGTTTTAAGTACTTTTGTTCTACTGTCCTCAAGCACAAGTATTCACATAAATCACTCTGTGCAGAGGGTGGGCCACAGAAGAGCCACAGGCTGCAAGAAATCAGCTGCAAATGCTGCCCTGGGATGATTTCTTTGTTTTCTTCTTTAAACAGAGAATATGTTTCCATCATACAGGAATGGGTTTCAGTACAAATAGCTGGCAGCTCCACACCATAGTTCTGGCCACGGAGCTCCCACAGCTCCTGTCCCTGCCCCTCCTCTCCAGGTCAGTCCCCAGCATCACTGTGGGCCCACACCTGAGGACACCGGAGCTGCTCTGGCAATGGTTCAGCTCAAAATAAACTGGGTTTAGCTGATGCCAAAACTATCTGTTGCTGGGTAACAGAAACCATCTTAAGTCACCACTGAGGGAAACTCTGGGGTTTGGGTGTTTTTATTTTTAAAAAACTAGCTATCCTGTTAATGTTAAAACCAGCCCTTGCAAGGCAATTAGAGGGAGAAGTGGCAGTTCATGGGCTGAGGGCCTGAGATAGAGAAAGAAGAAGAATTATCTCCAAAAATACCTAATAATAGACATAAAAAAGAAACTGAACACAAAGGACTGAACTGGAACTAGAGCAAGGACTGACAGGAGAGTTTTGAAAAGCAATCCAGTGAGAAGAGGAAAAGTTCTGAGGGGACCTGACAGTGAGTCTCCTCCCAGGAATCTGGGACACAGTCACAGACCTTGTGTGCTGCCTCTGCACAGGAAGATCAGTGACAGTACAGAGCTTTGGAGTCAGAGAGGGACACAGAGACAATTAATTTGTCAGGATAATTCTGGCAGCAGTAACACACAGAGACACTGAGAGGACACTGTGCAGATGAAGAGCAGATAGGCAAGAAAAAGTTCCTAGAATTCCTGAGAGAGAAGCAAACCAAAAAAGACTCTAATGGTCACTGTTCCAGAATACTGGTTTTGTAAATTTAAAATAGCAATTGAACCACCCTTCATCTGACAAACACTGATAATATTGCCAAGCTTCAGCAACTGCAATTAAAAATCAACTAAAATGCACAGCTACAGTCACACAGCTGAGATGAGCTGAGGGCAGAGCAATCCTGGTCAGATCTGCTGTTCCTGAGCACTGGAGTCATGTATCTAATCCTGTCTCCAACAAAGAAACCAAATTATAAACAACAATCCCTGGGCCAGGAATGCAAGTCCCAACTACACATCCTTGTAAAGCTGCTGTTCAGCACCCCAAGGGAACAGTGCAGGGCAACCAGAGCTATTCCAGCTGCCAGGAGAACCCTCTGCACACACAACTCCTACAAGTTAAAGCCACAGAGTTCAGCAACAAGTGCAGGTGTCAGAACAACCCAGAGAGGAAGGAATCAAAGGAAACAGCAGGATAAATGCACTGTCCCAAGTCATCAGCATGATGCAAATCCATAAATGTGTTCTGTGGGCACCTAAAATTTAAAGGGGGGGGGGGAAAAGGTATTTTGGACTCACAGGCTCTACTCACCATATTTTTCCTTTTTGTATTATATGCAGGTTTTGGGGTGTTTTTTTGCAATCTGTCAAAGAAACTGAGCAACAGAACTCTGCTTTCTCTAAAAGTAATGTTTTTAATGCTTGTTAACTGATTCAACACATACACTCAAATGATCACAAGGACTGCAATGAATCTCTATCATATAAAGTATGTGGGAAAGAGGTGATATGTTAATCTAATTTACAAAAAAAGTGCTGTGAGGAAGCTTACCTGGTTCCTAACATATATTCACACATTTAAAATTAAATTAGGATACTCAGACAAGCTGTAAACCTCCCTCACAAACACACACTAAAGAAATCAAGACAGAGTTTACAGTTAGAACCTGTCCAGATCCTTTTGTTACTGACTTTTTCTGCCAAAGCACATCTGAGACCACAGAAGTTTTTTGCCTTTTGTTGGTCTGGTGGCAGAGGCACAAATGCTAAAGCTTTCCTTTCTCTTAGGAGCCTGGTGATTTAACCTGTCAGACCAACTGTTCCTCAAGACATTTCCCCAATTTCCCTGTGGCTGCTCTTTCCCCAGGGAGGCTCCTGGGGAGCTGTGACCTCTCTTGCCCCACATCCCCACACTGATTTCTCAGTGCTCAGCCCATTCCTCACAGAGTTGTCCCAAGGCATCCCCACAGCCCAGTCCAAGAGCTCCCCTGGATCTGTGGGAGTTCAGCTCCAGCACCTCTGAACTCCCAGATCTCACACACAGGCAGATACACAATGAAAGATTGAAGCTCTCCGAAGCACCTTCCAAGAGGTTTCCACAAGCACACCCAGTGAGTGCTGCCCAAATTATTCAGCTCCACTCTCTCTGTCAGAGACATTCCAGTGAGCTCCCAGGAGCAGGGAGGACTGCTGTCTGCATTCTGCTTCCAACAAAGGCAGCTTTGTTCCCCCAGGAATGGCCCTGTCATGCACCAGAGGCCTATCCTGGTGTTTCTGGACAGTCTCCACTAAACATGTTCCAAGGCAAAGTTCCTAGATAGAAGCTTTTAGCAATTTTGACTAAAGTACTTTTATAAAGTATTTTTATCAGCTCAAATTCTTCAGCTCAACTTTTGCCTGAGCAACCAAACCCACTGGTAACTACACCCATACTCAGGTTTTATGGTTTTAAGTAAAGGCTGCTTAAAATACAGCAGAATGGGACAGATGCTCACTTTTATAACAAAAGCATAGATTTTGCTGCCTTGAAAGACCTTGAAAATAGAAAGAGACAGTTCAAAGACACCAAGAAAGAGGTTTCTGGTTTAAAATCACTTCCATTATTCACACAAATGATGTTGGTCAAAGCCAGCACAAAGTTTTGTTACAGTTTAACAGTATTGCATAATTCAGGAAAGAAAATATGTTTTCATTTAAGTGTAAAAAGGAGTTATGACTTCTGTTTTTACTCCAAGTTATAAAAAAAGCCAAGCTCTTAAACCATTGGGCTTTACAGACAAGAAAGAATGAGATTATAATTCTAGGCTAGTGGGGTATTTTTCCATGCTTTCCTTTTTTTTTTTCTCTCCCCCTCCCACTTCCTTTGAAGACCATTAATCAAAAGGGTTTTAAGAGTTCCCCTAAAAATATTGCTCTCCCCACCCCCATCATACTCTACTTTTACAAAAAACACTTCATGTAAGGAGAAGCCTTTAAAAAGTACGTTTCCTTGAAAATACAGACTTTGATAATCTGCATTCCCTGACACCACTGCTGGGGTACAACCCACTCCTGAGGTGGCTGAGGGGTCACACAACACCCAATTCCTGGCAAAAGACCTCAGCTACGAGAGAGAGAGAGAAAAGGGAACAGGGAAAAGGGAAAGCACCCCAACCAAATCCAAATCCTGTCCTATAGCTCCTACACTGGGTTTGCACTTGGCACAACACATCGGCCTCTCTCCCAGGTACATCCATGGAACAAAACCTTGGTACTCCAAAACCTTCAGAAGAGGAAGTCAAATTGCTGCCCAGCAGATGCCAAATTCCACAGACTTTATGGGGCTTCAGAGAAAATGCTAAAAAGGACTTTACCACAACTGGGAACATGAAACTTCACAAGTTCCACAAAGGTACGTGAGGGTTTAATGCTAAAGAATTCAGATATCAACATCACAGTTTCTACTAGAAGGACAACTTCTACACAGGAGACAAAAGAAGAGGGCACAAAGAAAATATTCAGATTCCTTATTGAACCCTGAGCCCCCCTGTGAAAGAAGGCCAACACTTCTGTGTTCCACAGGTAGAGAGACCCACGCAAAGCTGTCCAGAGAGACAGCTGAGAGCACCCAGTGCCTTCCCCAGGCTTCACGAGTTTGGGAAGAAATGGTCACCAGTAAAATGGTCACTTCAGCTTCCAACAAGAAACTTGCTTCTATGTTAAAGCTGTATAATTCTTTTAAATGCAGAAATGCTGCACTTACTTTTTGCTTGCTTCGTAAACATCCGTGATGTTGGAGAAGAGGTGGTGGCTCTCTGTTTTGGTCATTGTGAGGCTCAGTTCCCTGGAATTTTTAAACATCCGGATCAGAATCTCCAAGCTCAGCAAGTAAGAATGCTCAGAAGAGATCACTTCAAATATTGCCTGCAAAGTAGAGGGGGGAAAGAAAAGACTTATTAGTGACTGGGTTTTTTTTAATTAAAAGAAAAGAAATGTTGAGGAGGGGTGCAAAGCAAAGTTTTTGCACGTAAACTACAGATTATGACAAAAATATTCACTTCTATGATAGTTGCATCACTTACTTTGAAATAAGTGATTTAACACTAGAAAAAAGGACTTTTTTAAGAAGTCCATATTCAGAGTTTTCAATGCAACTGCAAACAGAGGGTTTGAAGACAACTCCAGACCAAGTGCGACCACTCCCCACTCATACTCCTGAGAGGTGGGTTTGGGGGTTTTTGGTGTTTGTTTTTTGGGGTTTGGTTTTGAACACATCCATTCCTGTGGTCTGTCTGGAAGGTTCCCATCAGTCCCAAGACTGCTGGCCAGGCCCTGTTTGCCTTTGCTCTTCCTGACCAGCAGCTGCTCAGTTCCTGACTGTCCCTGGGGCACAGGCCAAGCCCTGCAGGAGAGGAGCCTGGACCCAGAGCTGGGTCAGCACTGACACTCTGGGTCCCTCCAGCACCAGGATCAGGCACAGGAGGGGCCAGGACAGGGGTGGCAGCCGGTGTCCCCTGGGTGGGCAGTGATCAGACACGGGACAGGCACAGCTCCAGGGGTCCCTGACCCCTCTGACCCATCACCCTGCACTCCATGAGAGCCCACTGGTCCTCCCACCAGCTGGCACACAAAGCAAACCGGTGATGGACCCTCTGACTTTGAAAGCCATACACTTGTTCCACTGGAACTTTTCATCTCTGATGTAAAAACCTATTCAGCTCTCAGACATTTATAGTTGTCTGAAGGTACATGGGTAATAGAACTTTTTAGTTCTCAATATAACCAATGTTGATACTTGCATCTACTATTTCATTACTTATCTGCTACTAACTCCTCTAAAACCAAAGGAGAAATACCCAAACACAATAGCACAGGGGTGAGGTTGGAGGCACGAGGCTGAGGTCCCTCATGGGCTTCTTCCCAGTTTGGTAACAATAAATTAAATAAATGGGACAAAGAAAGACACTTTGCTTCTAAAGTGTAAGGAAGGGAGTATCATCTCACCATGACCCAAACACATTCTGGAGAATAAAAAATAAAGAAGGCTTAAGAACCAATCCTGAGTGACACACAGGAACCCCAGCACACCCAGGGGCTGGGTGGCAGCTCCAGGTGATGCAGAGTTCCTGAATGCCACTTGCAGCCAGGCTGTGGTTCATTCCATGATATCAAGGTCAGCAGATGTCCACCCCAATGGACAGGAACTCTCAAGAGGCCAGGGGCACACTGCACTTTGTACACACACACACACAGAGTTTCAGTTTGCAAGGAAAGAAGATGTGCTGAAAATAATTTTAGTTCCAACCTATGACATATTTTCTTTAGCCAAAAGATGCACAGACCCATCTCACTAATGGGTTCTGAAAAGTGGGATGTGTATGAACACAGGACATGGACATTAATCAAGGCAGAAAAAAAACAAATATATTTTTCTGCAGTGACAATGTATTATGGTATAATTACAAAATAATCTAATAGGTTCTAAAAAGCAGTTTAAAGACTAGATAAAGAATAGTTAATAAAAGGCAGTTTAAAAGAAATACAGCTGCAGCACAACCTCGTAATGCAACTACAGTTTAAGAATATTTATTTAGGCTCCCTCTGAAAGAATGGGCCTCTAATATTCAAATAAAAAACCCTCAGGCTTGAAAACATTTCTGGTAACATTAAAGACTTTACATGTAAGAGGCATCCAAAGAACTTGTTCTCTTTGAAAAGATGCAAGTATGATTGGGCTGCAAGTATGGCTTCAGGAAACCCAGACTAAAGGTTCCTGAAGGGTATGACTGAAACCAGTGCCTCGTGTCTCAAAAGCTTCCCAGCAGGAGGAGGCTGAGGTATATCCTGAATTGAAATGAGGACACTGGGACAGATTACCAGGGCAGGTACCAATGCTACAGTGTTTCTACTGAAAACACCTTGTTTTTTCCCTGCTGCCGGACATACCTCAGGAGCTGCAGGAATACACTTGGCTAGGCCAGGCTATGCTTTCAACACCTCTCATCCCCTTTGAAATAGCCCCTGTAGGTGAGGAAGGAGGGTAAAGCAGATAAAGTGGACACAGGGAGCACAGGGGAAGAGGAAAGTGGACCAAGAGGACAAAAGGAGCAAAGGGGAAGGAGACAGAGAGAGAACAGGTCAGTGCATCGGTGGCGGCGCTGCCAGGGAGGCACCGGCTCTGTCAGGGGACAGGGGCAGAGCTCACAGCAGGGATACAGTGCTCTCATGTCCAGCAGGGTTAGTTACAACTCAGGGCCTTTGTAAAAGCTGCTCTTTGTTCCTCATTGCCTTTAAAAATTCATGTGCCACCTCCTCCCTCTGTGATCTCGGGGTCAATGTCACACCTTCCCTGGCACAGCAGTGACTGTGCCACTGCCAGGCTGGACCCCCCTGGCAGGGACACAGCACCTCAACAACAGACAGGGTTTGTGTATTTACTCTCCCTGGGAACTGGGGACACTTCACTCCAGGGCAGGAAGCCGAGCAATGAACTTATCTCCTTGTCAACAGAGCACTGAAGCAGGTGAGCAGTGCAGCCCCAAGCAACCAGCCCCAAGCACAGGTTACTGAGATACCTCCTGCCTCTTCCTCTCCTCCTGGCTGATGGTTTCTGACAATCCATTCTTCTTCACCTGCAAAAGAAATAAAGTGCTATTTTTAAAATCTCTTGGGGAAAAATGTGATTTTAAAAAAATAATACAGGATTATCAAAACATTGCAGCTAAATAATCAGTCCACTCCAGGGACAGCAATGAACCAGCAGAAATCAAAACAGTGTCTGTATTTGACTTATTGAAAGAATTGTATGATTTCAGTAGAAACTATCCCAAGACACAAACCCAGGAGCACTGCCACGAAAGCAGGCACAGTGGAATCCCTCAGGTTTATTCTTTCCTGGTGCAAATCACACACATTGTGTCATTTAACAGGAGAACATTAAAAAACGAAAATCCAAAAACCCAGAAAGCAAAGCACCAAGGATGGCCTGGCTTCCTGCAATTCCCAGAGTGTTAAAGCCAGGACCCCAAATTAGGAGGGACACCAGGGAAGGCAAAGAGCCACAGCACCACACACGTGGAACACAGAGACAAGCCACGGCCATGAGACCTCACATGCACTTCCCTCCTCCCACTTCCCTCAGTCTTCTCCAAAAGCTCCTAATGTTCTATCAGCAACAGCTTTCTCTCCTTACTCCACCTGTTCCCTGGAATTTTAAAGGATAATATTATTCCTCACTTTATTCCTGCCCAGCAAGCCCAGCACAGCTGGACAGCAGGCTCAGGAATAAAGGAGGAGCAGGGTAAGAGGTGCCACACTTTTTTGCATGCGCACCAAAGCAGAGACTCACAGGTGAGTGCTTATGAAAATAATATCAACATTCCAGTGCTGAAGCAGTTGTTCTTTGGAACACAAGTCACAGATTCCCACGGCACCACAAGCAGACACTCCTGGATACCGAGCAAGAACTAATTAAATGCCTGTCTATTAAACATTAAAGTACCTTTCAATCAGCAACCTGAAAGTTTCAGAGCCCTCCCCAGGAAGTGCACTGGCACTGGCAGGTACACCACCACCTTCTTCTGGATGCAGTGGAAGACTTTTCTAAAAGTACGCCAACACAGGAAATACCTGGGAACACATCCCACAGGTGCTCCCTGCTGACACACACACTGCTCAGGCCCAGGGAGCTCCACGGGCACCCAAGTGAACTCATGTTCCCAAGGGCAGCTGTGCCCCGTGCCCACCGTCTGTCACACGCAGGTGTGAGCACACAAAGTACACATGAGCTCATCCCGTGAGCAAACGGCCCAACCTCACACTCCCAGTCAGCAGCAACACTTCCAAAGAGACAGAGGCCCAGACATGGAGACTATTTCAGGCATTTCTGTGAAAGAAACTTCAATTCCTAATTTTGAAGTGTCCCAAATGTTTTAATTGAAATAGCCTTAAAAAAAAAATCACATTTGTGACACTATGCAAACAAAAGGCTTAAGGTAAGAACATGACCAGAAGGACTGGAAGAGGCCCACCAGCACAGCTACTAATGCTGTGTGTCATCACGTTGGACTGGCTTTTCCTCAGCAACTCAGTTATGACTGATTCAACCACGGAGATGAAGAGGAAAGCATGAAAGGATAACAGGTGAACTCTGGTTAGGAACAAGAAGTTCCCTCAAAATAAGGAGGTGGTGAAGGGAGGGAACGTCACTGGAAATATTTCTTTGAGAAATACAGAAAGTGGCTGCACCATAAAGCAAATTGAAGACAAGCCCTTTGGTACAGGGAGAGAAAGGAGAGCCCCTCATGAGAGGAGAGATGAGCCCTGAAGATCCCTGACAGTCAAACCAGGCAGATCCCTGGCAGCCAAAGCACAGAGAAGCAGCAGCCATGAACAGGACAGAGTGTGCTTCTGTAAAGCAACTCACAGCAGCTTTTCAAATCAAGGAGAAAACAATCACAACCAAGATCAATCTCAGTTTCACATGTGTGTGTACACTGCAGGAAGGCAGAAACACCCTTTTTATTACTATTATCATAAAGAATTTGACAGCTCCATGCCTGAAGTTCACTAGTCCTCAAACAGAGCCTGGTCAAAGAAACCTCCTGCAGAGAGAGGGGTTCCCTCTGCCATCTCCCCTCCGTCTCCCAGCACAGGCACTGCTAACAAACACCAGAAACATTATTCTCCTCCTTCCCTAACATATGCTGAAACCCAGGACTGACATTTTCCAGCTGACTTCCTGCTACAACTCCAGACTCACTTTTTCACTTTTTAATACCCATTGACAGCATGTAATTTTTCCAGAGTTACAACCACAGTCACTGTGAGACTCAGATTGCCAGATTTTGGTTTCTCCATGCACCACCTTTTCCCTCCTACTCCCCATTTCCAACCTTGTAAAGCAAGTACAGACAGTGCACAAGTTGCTGCGCTCGAACAGCACAGAACAAGTTGGTTTCTGTAACTGAAGAATGGGACAGTTCCCTTCCTGAGATGGTCTCTGTGCTATTTTTGTCTCACAACAAATTAGTATTTGAAATTATCATTATTATTATTACTGAATAGCATTCTTCCAAAATACCTCAGCTGGTGAACATTTAACTGCTAGTTTGCCCAGAAGGCAGAAAAAACAATTTGCCTTCATTATACCCTAACTTTTTTGCAACACTGAGCAAATGAACTATATTTAAAGTATTTGATTTGTTGAAAAAAAATTTAGAGCAAATCTTTTCAAAACCACATCGTCTTGCCTTCTTTATAATCATCGAATCAGGGGGATTCATATTTCAATATCTTACCCTTGAAAAGGTCACCAGCATGTGTAAGACAGCTCTGCTAATCAGGCCATCTAAAGACCCATAGAGGATCTCCCTGAGGCTTGATCACTCATTTACTGGAACGTGCACAGACATGGACAGCCAGCAACCCCAACACTCCAAGGTGATCATGTCATGGTATCATCTCTCTAATGGCAGAGATGAGGATTGGCAACATTCTACAAGTTGCATAAACAAAAACCAAAAAACAACCCCAAAGCCTTCATTTTAGGGACATCCCTCCAGAAGCCACAGAAACGATCAAAGGATAAAATTAACCCCAGAAACACAGAATTTTTACAATTTCTTTAGTCTCAAAATCATGTGTAGGGCAAAAACCTGTAAAAATATCAACTGTTCTCAGTAATTTGTCAGTTTATCAGCAGGGAAGGCAGCAAGATTGCAGTACTGATTAAACCAGCTGAATTTACTTTGTTTAATAATGCCATTAAGCCAAAGCCCCTGCAGATGCTTCCCAGCCTGTGCTGGGACAGCAGAGCACCACCAGCTCAACACCCTGCTTTTCAGAATGGTTTCCATTAAACATCTGCACTCGAGTCAACTTAAGAGCTGGTGTGGAGTGATTTAGAACAATTCAGCAGCAGCTTGTTCGTAACTAACTTTTCTTCAGTCTAATTCACCCTGATAGTGAACTCACACAAACCCTTTTTTTAACGAATTGGTGAAGTTGTGTCTTAGCCAAATACAGGGCCCCAAAATGAACTCTCTTGGTTTCACTGCTTTCTATGTGAAACAAAGACCAGTAATTGGTCAGGACTCCCGTGTTGTTCTTATGAAATGAAAAGGAAGATGAAGAACTTCAGCCAAAAACTGCAGCAGCAAGTAAGAAGCCTTTGCTTGAGCCCACCCTGAGCTCCGTCTCTGGCCACAGCAGGATCACACACTCACCACAGAGAGCTGGCTCCACGTCGACCTCAGGGGCTTGTAGTGAAAAACAACCTTGTCATCCGATTTCTGCTCTCGGGGCTCAGACTCTTCATCAGAATCTATGTCCAGAGCCTTTTCCTTATAGTTCTGATATAAAACAGCATTTTCTGTCAAACAGCAACAGTGTGTCAGTCATCGCTAGAAAGTTGGTTTAGTTGCTCTCTTAAGAATAATAAGTAACAATTAAACAATGAAAGAAAGCAAAGTGTCACTGTGGCCTCCCCACTCCACCAGACAAAGATAGCATCTGATTTGGGCTGGACAATGGTGCAGTACAGTGACAATGGGTCACTGTACCACTCCCAAAGATCCTCACGGACAGAATTAAAGAACAGACGTGGCCTTTGTCAAGAAAAAAACAAAAAACAATTTTTTCTTCCTTGGTTTGCTGTACCCTATTTTACAATTAGCCAGCAATTAGAAAACAGGACTGTGTGTCAGTGATCAGTCACTGATCTGGAGGTCTAGCTATTTTCATCTTCAGGACCACCACAAGGCCACTGCCCATGACCACCTTTCTGTCAGCTTTAAATAATGTCTTTGCATTTCACTAAGAGAAGGAAACGACCCCAGTTTCAGAGTTAAGGTCAGAACTACTCCAAATAGAAAATTCAAAGCTTTCCTGAGTAAGCACGAGGCCTATGAACCTTAAGACAAAACACCCTATTTGAGTTGTCATCATTAATCCAGTACTATCAGTGGCAAAGAACCCCAGGTGTGGAGCACACCCTGTGCACTCCCCAACCTCCCTGGTCACACAGCCTTTGCAACAGCAGACAGAAAGGACAGAGAAATTCAACACCACAATGACCCACAGACAGATTAAGCCATTAAGCAAGTGGGCTCTGAAAGGCACTTTTAGATGGGCCAGGCTTTGGATAACATCCAATCCTCCCCTAAAAGGGGAAAGTGGAAGGTCTGGCTGCTCCGCACACAGCCCCAAGCCCATGGTCCCACACCTGGCGGGGTGACCTGTCCCACCTGCTCAGCCCCTCCAGCCCCAGTGTTACACAAGGTCTGGCCTCTGTCTCAGCTCTTTGGGAAGTGTGTACAGTCTGTACAAGAGAGGAAATTGTGTACAGCCACTGCATTCTGAGAGGCACTGCAGAGAAAGTCATTAGCTGGGATCAGTCAAAGGCAGAAGGGAACCACTGGAAGAGAATTTAGAAAACGTCATTAGGAGACAGTGGAGAAGAAAATAAGAGTAGGAAAGGGGATGATGCAAACAGAACACAGCGGGGAGTTTTGAAAACAGACACAAGAGGAAGGTAACACAGCAGCTGAGATGAGCTCAAGGAGGCATTAAGCAGAGAAAAGCCAAGTGAGTAGCAGTTATTACAATAAAACTTCCATAGCTCATAGCCAGGAAAGATTTTTTTTCTTGCTGAAATATTGGGAAAAGCAGCAAACTTGGCAAAGCCCAGAATTAATAAGTACCACAAAAATGCTAATACATGGACAATGTTTTTCTGGCACTTAAACTTGAAGCCAAGGTAGCACAAAAGGAAAATGATGGCAGAGCCAAAGGATTTGCCCCAGCACTTGAGGAAAAGAGAACCAGCTGTGTGACCCAGCAGCTCAGAGCCTAATGACTCAGGTGTGAGCTGCAGGGGTGACCCCAAACCTGCCAGTCATCCATAATGTCCTGCCCCTGGGGAGAGCCTCAGGGAACAGGCCTGAAGGCAGTCCCACCTGGAGGGGCCACCCCCCAAGGAACTGTACAGAACTGTCAGGGCTGAGACAGACACATCCAAGAGCTCATCTTTTGGGAGGGACAGGAGGTTGAGAGGAAAAGAAGCCCCTCACATAAACCCCCATTTTTAGCCTGCCATTTTATAGTCTTTAAAATACCCCTGAAGTATATTTAGGGCCAATATTTCAGTCAGATTATTGAAAAGCAAGGTACTTAGTCTTTGACTTCCTAGGAAGGAAATGTGAAAACCAACCCTGAAGTTCCTTTCCCATGGGACACAGGGATCAGCCAGCCTGTACAGAACAGGGCTTACCTTCCCCATCGAATGTCCCTTGGCCTTTCAGCATCTTCTGTAGTTTTAACAGAAAAGAGAGAGATCTGTGTTAGAAAGAGAATGCAAAAGAACCACAGCAACAAGAACTTGTTTTATTCAACACTTCGGCACCAAATCAACAGGCCCTAACCTATAAACTCTGGATGTTGGACAGGAGTTCAACAAAAATAACTGTTTCACCACAGCAAGTGGAAAGCTACTCTAATTTAATTCCTCTCATGCATTGTTTATATGCATTTTCCCAAAATGCTTCATTTTCCCTGTGTTTCAAAAGCACAATATACTGGCTTGAGAGGGGTTCACTGAACCTACACCTCATCCCACTGTCTCGGCCTTTCCTAGGAGGCCACAAGGCCCAGGACTGAGTGGCTGCCCTTCCACACTCTGCACACAACACCCACTGTAAGTACTTTGTAAGTGAACGTCTTGAGAGCAAAACAAACCTCTGAAATCAAACAGCTGTTCTGGTGCAACATGTCCTGTGGGCCAAGAGTCTAATAAAACACTTCTGGCAGAGAGCTCTGTGTGTTAGGACAGGACAGCGAGACATCCTCCCATTCTAAACATAACTTACTGTTCAAGTCTATTACAAAACCAAATCACTTCCTACTCTGCAGTTGTTCACAACTTGATCAATTCCTATTTCATCACTTGTAGCATTTTCACAAAAGCTTCTATTACCATAATTTTGAATTTGGCTGAAAACTGTCATAAAGCTGATCATCATTTTAATAGCTACAGCATCAGCCCTCAGCCTGGTATAGTTTATTACACAGTTCTAAACACTCCACAGATATCTGTGAATGTATTTCATAAAGTAACAAATTCTATTTAAAAATAAGGAAATACAATATATGAACACTATATGTTCAAACAAAAAAGTATTTTCAGTAAGTCTTTATAACTTAATTTTAATGCATTAACATGCAATTAAAATCTACCTACTTCTCCCAAGGGATACAACCGAGATTTAAAAACAGGCACTCTGCTTTTACTTGCAAGCATTAAAATTAAGATAACTGAAGTGGTCTCTATCGATTTAAAAACCACACAGTGATTTTTACAAGTAATTTAGAAGCGATGTCTCAGATAGAGGAGAGCAGGAGGAAGTTAATTTTTCTGTCTCTGCTCTGGCAGGCAGAGTTTATTAGGACAATGTCTCTTTTTTATCCTGTTTACTCCTTTCTGGGAAGCGGGTTTTAAGCCATGAGTTCGGTTGGGAGAGCAGCCCTCCGTGTGCTGGGGAATCCAGCAGGAAACGCGAGCAGGAGCACAGTGCTGAGCTGCCCAGATTTCAACAGAATCGTGTCCCTCCAACACCTCGCTAAGAAAACAGCATTAACTAAACAGCAGTAACTACGAGAAGTTTTGCGTTAGCATAAAGCAAGCTGAAAAAAACGTACAGTCAGCAAATCACGCTCCCGCGGAGCCGCAGCATCACCGCCCAGCGCACCTCACCTTTATCCTGCCCAGGCTCGAAAACTTCTCTTTATCCTCGACCACGGCTTTCAGGATGGGCTGGGACATTCTGTTCTTCTTCTTGCAGTTGGCGGAGCCGTCCAGGTCCACCCCGCTCACCACGGCCCGGCGGTAGGACGTGGAGCGGAGCCCTCGCCGCAGCGTCCCCGGGCTGCCCGGGCCGCCCTCGGGCTCGTCCTCGGCGTCGCTGCCCGGGGGCAGCCGGGCGGTCTCCACCATGCTTCGAGCCTTCAGCAGCCGGTCGTGGCCCTGGGCCCGGCCCGCGGGCCGGCTCTCCGCCAGGCTGAGCGGGATCAGCTGCTGCGAGCCCACCTTCCGCGCCGCGGGGCTGTGAGTGCTCAGCAGCGCGGGGGGCTCCGCGGGGGGACCCCCGGGCACCTCCGCGGGCTCGGCAGCCCTGCCGATCCCGGGGGATCCCTCCGGAGGCTCGGCGGTCCGGCTGACGCCAGGGGATGCCCCCGGGAGCTCGGCGGTCCGGCCGACTCTGGGGGATCCCTTCGGGGGCTCCGCTGTCCGGCCGATCCCGGGGGATCCCTCCAGGGACTCGGCGGTCCGGCTGACTCCAGGGGATGCCCCCGGGAGCTCGGCGGTCCGGCCGATTCTGGGGGACCCCTTCGGGGGCTCGGCAGCCCGGCCGACTCCAGGGGATCCTCCCGGTACCCCCGGGGGCTCGGCGGCCCGGCCGCACGGTGCGGGCTGAGCGCTGGCCGCGAACACGATGCGGTCCCGGTGCGGGGCCAGCCCCGCAGTCCTGGGCGGCCGGGCCCGGCGGCCCTGCCCGCTGCCCGGCGCGGGGACGGTGCCGTTGGCGGTCGAACCGACACGGCTGTCCGGAGCCAGGGCGAGCAGCCGGGAGCGCTCCGGGGACAGCCCGGGCGAGCGCGGCGGCCGCACGGTGCCGTTGGACACGGATCCCATGTCGGGGCTGACGGTGCCGGCGGGCTGGGTCACGGTGAAGGCGCACCTGTCCTCCACGGGGAAGTCGGTGACGAGCAGCCCGCTGGGGCTCTGGTACGACTGCGGCCGGGGCTTGCTCCAGGCGAGGGGCTGCGGCCGGGGGGTCGCCCGCCTCCTCCAGCGCGGCGCGGCGGGGCCCGCCGGGCGCTGCCCGTCCATCGCCGCCCGCCCGGCGCCGCTCGCCCAGGGAGGCGGGCGGGGAGCGCTCTGCGGGCGCGGGGCCAGCGCGGGCCGGGCCGGGCCGGGCGGGGGCGGGCCGGGAGAGCAGCCCCCGCTCGCACCACCCGCGCTGCGCCGTTCGCTGCCGGGGCCGCTCCCGCCCCACCTGAGGCTCGGCCGGGGGCGGGCGGAGCGGTGCTTCCGCCGCCGGCACAGCCCCGGCGCCCGCCGGGCCGGGGCCTTCCCCTGCCCGCAGGTAGCGGGAGGAGCGGGGTCCCCGGGCCTTCCCTTGCCCGCAGGTAGCGGGAGGAGCGGGGTCCCGGGGCCTTCCCCTGCCCGCAGGTAGCGGGAGGAGCGGGGTCCCGGGGCCTTCCCCTGCCCGCAGGTAGCGGGAGGAGCGGGGTCCCGGCTGTGCCGCCCCGAGGGCGCGGGGTGAGCGCGGTGCCGGCAGCTGGGCTGACTCACCGCAGGGTTACGGCAACGCCGCGGGCAGGGCGGGCTGGCGGCGCAGCGCTGCCCCAGCCCCGGGCTTCTCGCTGCAGGACCCACCATACCCTCCACATGGGAAAAAGGCTGGAATTTCCCCTTGACACGTGGCCGCGCCGGCAGTCGCGTGCGGCAGTGCCATCCCCTGTGCCCTGGCTGCGCGGTGATGCCATCCCTGTGTCCCACCTGGGCTGTGCAGCGGTGCCATCCCTGTGTCCCACCTGGGCTGTGCAGCGGTGCCATCCCTGTGTCCCACCTCACTGTGCCCGCCCAGGCAGTGGCTCCCGGGGCCCCTGTGCCCCCCACCTGCTCGTTCATTAGGGAACACGTTGCACCTGCCTGGCTCGGGCTGGAGTGCTGGGAGAAAGCTGGGAAAGGAGCAGCTTTGTGGTAAAAAAATAGGACGTAAACCATGAATCTGCTGGGAATTCTGACACATCAGCCGGAAACACTGTCTGTAAAAATGGTGAAACTTAAATGTGACTTTGGTAACTTCACCGTACATCTGAGGAGAACAGAGTAAGTTTTAAAGCAAAACAAAGGCATGCTCATGTTCCTGTGCCGGAGGCTGCACAGGCCCTGTCTTCTTCCATCATGGGACACATGCTCTAGCAGCCCAGCCAGGGGTCCCTGTGCTCCACAAGGCACAGGCTCAGCAGAGTCCCTGACACAAGTGACACGAATGATTTTCTGTTCTATCACATTCAGTAATAATTACAACATGCCCTTGCTTCACTGCCTGCTCCTCTGCAGTTAAAATCTGCTCTGCTTCCATTGGAAAAAAATAATGATCCCTATGTTTTAAAAACCATCTTGTCAGAGCATGTGGAGCATTTAGCATGAATAATTATTTAGCTCCACTATTAAATGTCACATTGGACATGAATGTAAAATAAAATTTTAAATACTTCCCTTTTGGTATTACTTTGGTATTACATCACAAAGCTAAACTGTTTTTCAGGCTTCCCTCAAGTGCATGAAAGACAAAACCTAGGCCTGATTCTGTTCCCGTGTGATTAACACATCCCCTCTGGACTGGCAGAACAGTGACACCTGGAATATTTGGAGACCCTGGAGCCCAAGCTCTGCCTCCACAGCCGGGGACTCTGCGGTGCAGAGCTCTGGAGCTGGGCCAGGAGGCACCCAAGGACACAGCTCATACCTGCTGTGTTAGTCCTGCCCTTCCCGCAGAGCTCTGCTGCTGGACCTGGGGGGAACCATTCAGGTCATTTCCATGTGAGTGGCCCTCAGGAAACACTCTGCAGGGGGGAGCAGGGAAGGCTTTGTTAGGCTGAGCAAGTTACCTCACCTCTGACTGGCAGGGCCCTCCTTTCATCACCTGTGAGCTGCAGACTTGATTTCTGCTGAGACTTGAACTGAAAGAGCAATCCCAAAAGCTTTGATTAGAGCCTGGACTCACCAGTGATGGCAGGTGCAGGACTGGAGAATTCCTGGGGGTGGAGGAGAGAGTTTTGGGGAGTTTTGGGGAGTGCTCAACAAAATTACTTGTTTTTTTATGGATGGGCACCCACTTGGACTCCTGGATAAACTCGCAGAAGGGCCAAAAAAACATTAGATTTGTAACTTCTCTCCAGACTTGCAAGAGTTCATGTATCATCAAATCAGAAAAGAATAGAGTAGATTAGAAGTGCTCTATGACATTTTCAAAGATATAAAAATATTATTTACACTAAGCCTGTTTACTAGGTAATAAACCATCAGACAAAAATACAGAAGGAAACATAAGGCACAGCCAACCCCATGTACATGCATACAAACCTCAGATATATTAATTCTTCTCCCAGGAGATCCCAGGGAAAACAAAAATCTTACTAAGAATCAAATTAAGCAAAGCACAAAGAAATTAAAATGGGCAAATTTTTATGTCCCACAGATGAGAGAAAACTGCAAATTGCCACTCCAGCTTTAAACAGCCAAAGCACAGGGAGAAGCCACAGGCAGACCCTAAAATGCTGGTTCAGTTGTCAACTGGGATTTCACACTGGATTATTTCTAAAATTGTCTCTCAGCTGTCTACATGAAATTGCCAAGGAATTGGATGTAGCTGCTCCATATTACTTAACTCACAAATCCTAATTATTAATAACCAAGGTAATCAGCTTTTACAAGATTATTCTCTTGCACATACTTATTCACTGTGCTGCAATTACAAGGGTAATTTTGGTTGCACCTCAGTGTTCCATTTCATACACAGTAAAAGAGAAGTAAAACCTTACAATAAAATTGCCATCATAAGAAAAGTAAAATCAACTCTATAATTTAAGAGAAGAAAGAAATGTAAACATAGTAATTAACCCATCCTACAAAGCCAGGTCACAGTGTGAAATCACTGAGGCACTTATGTAGCAGTGCCCAAACCTGATAACAAGCCCACAAATAATAGTTAGATTAAACATCACTTTGGAAGGGTTACAGGGTTCAATATATACTTTTGTGTAAGATCTGAATGTGAAAATGTAAATGTTCATGCAGTAACTTACAGGAGATGTGTAAAGACTCGGGGCCGGGCCTGTGCTTTCTGTCAAACGAGAGAAGAGGAAGACGAATCCGTGGGCACTTTGTACGTCCAGTTTCAGAACCATCTCAAACCTCCCCTCCAGCTCTGGGCTGTCTCTGGCGTGTGCTGGGCTGGAGCTCCTCAATGCTGCAAACACCTGGAGATGTTGGGACACACCTGTAATTCAGTGTTTCTAAATAAACTGACTCAGTTTGCTGTGTCAGTACTCCCTAACCCACACTTTGATCAGCCCTCTCTGTCCCTCAGTTTTGGGATGTAAGGAGGTGTGGAGCAGAACCTGTGCAGTGGGAACTGCAGCAGAGAGAATTCCCATGCAATGCTGCATCCCTTTGGAACCTTTCCCAAAGCCAGGCCCTGAACTAGCCATGAACGCCCCTACAGCTTCAGAGCTGTGCAGGTGACCCTGGCTGCTGGTTGGGCCCATGGTCCCCCACTGCCTCCAGCCTCCTCAGGGGCATTTCCATCAACATCTGCCCTCTGTGCCTCCAAGAGAGGGGACGGGTGAAATGGCTCCAAGGGAAGTGCCCAGCTTTTGGTTAATCCCCCAGGAATCACTGCATGTCCCGTCTGTGTTAACTGACAGCTAGGAAATAACAATAATACAAGTAACATTCTTTTGAAACTCCTGTCTTTCCCTGGCTTTGGGCAGCTGAAGAACAGTCAGCCCTGCTCAGATCAGAGCAGAATTAGCAGGTGGGGGAATAAGGCTCTTACTGCCCCCCAAAACCCCTCCACAGCCCCAGCAGGGACAGGGTCAGCACAGGCGAAGAAAGGACGAGCTGTGAGTGTGACAGAGCTCTGCTGAAATCCTCCTGGCACTGCTCTCACTGCCTGTCCAGGGACATGAACCAGGGCAGTGGAGCCTCTTGCCAATGTGAGGAGCAGAGTTTTCCCAAGGAGGACACGGTTGCTCCAGCAACACAGGCAATCCCAGAGCACTGCAGCCGTGGGGCGCAGGAAGGGTCAAGCCTTCCGACCTTGTGCCCCCTTTCTTCTCCATACAATGGTGTGTAGGCTGGGAGAGATTTTGCTCTGAACACTGCCCAGCCAAATTTTAACCATAAATCAATCCAAGAAGGCAGAAGACAGGTTCTGTAATTATTTCTGTTTTCCTCTGAATTTTACTGTTGTTAAAATAATCAGCAGTAATAGAAAGCTTTGCAGCATTAACCAAAAGCTTTTAGGGGAAAACCACATCACATTGCACTGCAGTTAAAAAGAACCTGTTAGTGCTCCTGGACCATCAAATTTGAAACAAGATGCTCTTTTACTGTTAAACTGGGATGAAAAGACAAAAGAGTAAGAAAGAATGTGTAACCCGAGAAGTCTGACCCTTCCTCTCCAGTTTAGTTATATTCATTGGTTTTCCAATTTTACGATTCCATTTACACATTTAAATTCTAACAGTGAATTTCCTCTCAATAATTCAGAGACCATCCTTTCTATAAGATAATGGTTAATGGAATGTCCCTGAAAATGTAGATATAAATTTTTTTATCTGATGACTATAGTTCATAAGATGTTGCTGTTTAAAGAGTTTGCAGGATTTCAGACATCTCCCAACAAAAGGATCAAGGCACTGCTTGCCATAGCTGAAAAGTTTTGGTGGTTGCCATTAGAAACTCAAGCAAGGCTGGGAGCCTTCAAGGACAGTCTGTGCAGCTCAAGGATGGTGGCTGCTGGGTCTGCTCTCTTTGTTCTCCCTGAGGCTGCACAGAAATGTCCGAGCAAGTGACGGGGGTGGGGGGGTGAAGAGTGGATCCTTACTGTGGGTACATTTCCAAAGAGCTGCTGCTTATTGCCTAAGTTTGGTTTCTGCTGGGATTTTTGGTCTGGTTTTTAAGGAACGAACATTCTGCTCATATAGGAATTAAAATATATATATATAAATGGAGAACTCCGGTGTTTTTTATTTGTTTCCTGAAGGCTAGGTGATGATTTCTGTGTGTGATACACACTGTCACTCTGCAGTGGGAGCAGGTGAGTCACCTGCTCTCAGCCCCTGCAGGCTGTGACTCCCCAGCCTTGCGGTGCCGCTGGACTTTGCCAGCCTGCCCTGCCCTTCCCGGGGGGTTCCGGGGACACGGTGCTGGCTGTGAACACACCAGGGACTCCACAGGCCTCTCTGGCTCTGCACAGGGGGCAGCTGTTGCAAACAGAGGTGGAGATTTTCAAAGCTGACTCTCCCGGGTGAGACACCTGAGCCCTGGGGAATGGCTTGGCTGGATTGGATGGCTCACCCCAGTTCTGCTTGACAAGCTGGAGATGGGGCAAAGGTTGGACTCCATGATCTTAGAGGTCTTTTCCAACCTAAATGATTCTGTGATTCTGTACTTGGGCTGATTTTAGAAATGCTGAACCTGGTTTAGTTTCAAACACCTGATTAACCCGTAGTTATGTACCAAGTGCTGGGATTTTAGGAATGCCATAGCAACAGAATCAGACAGGGAGGGAGTCTGGAGTGCGGGGCAGGGAAGCTCGTGCCTGTTTTTCTCTAATGAGCTGAAGCTCTGGAGTGTGCCTTTCCCCCTCACATTCCAGTTTCCCATTTGTGCTCCCTCTGTGCTCCACGCCTCCCTTGGCTGCAGTCCTGCAGTGGAAACTATGCATGGATGCGTGTGGAGCCTGGGGCTGGGGGCTGGGAGACCTTCATTCCCAACTTCAGCAAGCCCGTGGTTTGGCCTAATTGGCCCCAAATAACCAGGAGTTGGACAGAATTCCCGGATCTGAGGCCACTCTCACATTCCCCCTCGCCTGGCCCTGGGCTGTGCACAGGTCACTGTCCACACAACACCTCGGCACCCTCGTGTGTGTGAGGATGTTTCTCTTCCAAACATTCTGAAAAATTGGCACTTCTCTTATTATCTTTCCTCTCCAAGCTATTACAGGCGTTCCTAATTCAACTCTGATCCCACTAATTAGCTCAAATACATTTTAATTAGTGGAATTCATTCTGCTGTTAGGTGTGCCAAAATTCATCTCTATGGTTTCTTTGAGCTCAGTTTCTCAAGTTGTCTCCTTTCCAGTCGAGCTCTTATTTTCTAGCAGTACCTTAAGTGTTCTTCGTAGTTGGAAATAATTTCTATCCCATCATCTAAGTCCTTTTTTCATCCTTCACCTTACTGTGACTTATTTCCTGACCTACCACACAAAACAGTCGAAATTCTAGACCTGATAGGTGCAGTTATCAGGGAGACAAAGGGAGCTGGGGTGTGTAAAGCAGGATATTGCAGGAGAGAAAAGCCCTTCAGTGGAAACAGCAGCAGGTCAGGAGCAGAGTGAGAGTCTGAGAATTCATACAGCACTTCTAACAAGACTGAAAAGAGAGAGAAGAGGGGGTAGAGACACTCACTGAGCCAAGAACAGATTCACAGAAGAAAAGAACTCTGATTTCAAAAGGAAGGGGGAAAAACGAGTGGATAGAGCAAGTCCTGCTTTGCCAAGGACTCTGATGCAGGAGCATGGCCAGTGCACTCTGCCTGTGCAGCCAATCTGGCTGAGAGGATTCATTTTATCTGCAAAACAAGTCCCCAAAGACAAAACATTTTTATTGCTTTCAAGTTGGTTTCAAAATTAGTCACGGACTGATTTCATCCCTTAAATCAAACTGAAGGTGATCAAGACCTTGCAAAAGGCTTTCATCCAGAGAGGCAGTGCTGGACCCAAAATAAGCAGAAACCTTGCCCAGTATCGCTGCTGTGGAGAATAAACCAGTTTATAAATGTTAATAAAGAGTTGAAAAGCTTTTCAAGTTACTCTGACAAAGCTCAGCACGAGAGGCACGTGACAGGATTCCTTCCAGCGGGTCCGGCACGGGCAGGCTCGGGCAGGGGCTGCCCACGGACTTTGCCTAGTTGGGAAGAGCTGGAACAGCGAGAGCCTCTCGGAGGACAGGGACAGACTCATCCCGGCCCCACGGGCTTTGCAAAGGCCTTACAAGTACCTGGAGCTGGAAGGGAGCACAGCACCCGGGTGATGGCCATGGAAACAAAACACGAGCTGCCCTGAGTCACCAGGACAGCACCGCGAGGTGTTGGTGATCCCTCAGCCGAGCAGAGCCATCAGTGCTGGCTGCCAGCAGCTCCGGGGAGCTTGGAAAACCAGCTGGAAGCACTGAGCCCCCCAGGTGGTTCCACAGCACAGCTGACAGTGCTCTGTGGCCTTCTGAGTGACGAGAAAGAGTCTGTGGATTGTGGCTCCTGTTCCAGCACTGCTCATTTTTGTACATGGTCTCACTGTGCTTTGGATCTCAGTTTTACAGGCTGCTTTATGTATTTGGAATGGAGGGGGTTTTAAAGTTGAATTATGCTCCTCTGGGGTATAAAGAAAGAAGAAAGGAGTGGATTAAGGTACCCAGACATACAGCAAGAATGTTTCTTTCTCAGAAAATGTTGCCTGGCTTCTTCCTCTTGAGCTCCATGCTGTTAAATACACGGCCTGGATCCATCCCTGGTGTCAAAGTGCTTTTGTTTCATCTACAGTTTTATTCAGTTTCTCAGGAGATGAAAGACAAATAAAGAGGCTGAAAATGTTTTCAAATGCAGCCTGAAAGCACGAGAAAAAACATTAACCTTTTGTTTCATTGCTTGGAAACCCCAAAAAGAGAACTGCAAGCAGCAGTTTGCCCGTGAGACTGTCAGTGCTTCCTGTTCTTGTTTCTGCATGTTCTTTCCCTCTTAAGAAATCAGACAAAGAAGAAAAGGGGCACTAAATTGCTGGCATCCCCTGCCCCAGAGTCCTGAATTCAGCTGGCACTGCTCAGGCCCACTTTCAGCACCTCCCCATGCAGTGTCAGAGCGGCCACTGGAGCCATGGATAACATTCCTTGGGAATGCTGTGATGCAGCTTATGATCCCCTGTTTTTCAGTGATAAAAGCCAGACACTAGAAGGAAACAGAGAACATGTTTTTCCCTCTAAGACAGAAGAACATGGGTTACAAGCCAGTTTACTCAGCTCAATACCTACTTGCTCGGTATCATAATTAATCAATTCTTCAAGTAGCAAAATAACCAAAATACATGATTTAGCCATCTCACAGTGAGTTGTGTGGGCTCCTTGTAAAAAGCTACTATTTTAAGTTCAGAGATGTTAAAAATCAGATAGAAATGCTTACACAAGGTGACCTATCATGTGCT